GAGATTCTCAGAGTGTTGACTCTCAGTGTTATAGAGAGTAGTTGCACAGGCTTCTCTCCTCTCTTCTCTCTCTTCTCTTACAGGGGATTGAGAGACTCTTCAGTCAATCTCTTTGCAACACTCAGTCTGAGCATTCTGTGAAGCTTTTCTATCTTCTCTAGTCTCTCTATATCTGTCATTCTGGCCTTCTTAACATAGTCTGATCTGTGAGAGAGTTCATCTGCTGAGTTCTTAGTTCCCTTGATATATTCTATCTTGAATCAGAACTCACTCAGTCTCTGAGCTCAGTGAACCTGTCACTGTGAGAGTTTCTTGATTGAAGCAAACTGTTGCAAGCTGTCATGATCAGTTCTAACAGTAATCACTGTCATGAGGCTCTTGAAGTAGTGACATCAGTGATGAAAGAATTTCACTATTATGAGAAGCTTCTGATTATGAATGTCATAGTTGATCTCTGTGAGTTGTATCTTTCATGAGAAAAAGGTCACTGAAACCCAGTTCTCATTTGACTGTAGTTGTGAGACTATTTCTGAAATCATAAAGAAGAAGACATCTGTCTCTAATCTGATTAAGAGTAAGAGATCAAAGTGAAACAGCATTACTATGTCTGCAAATACCTGTTTCAATCTTACAAAGACTCTGTAAGCTTCTGAAGTAAGAAAGTTCTCACAGTTCTTTCTTCTCAACAATCTTTTCATTCTCTATTCACAGAATGACTTCTTCTTATTTTCACTCTTCAGCATGTCTGTAAGGGCCAAGAAGATTCTCACAAACACAAAGATAAACTGTCTATAGAAATTCACAAAACTCAGAAAGATCTGAATCTCATAAATACTAGTTGACTCTGATCATGATAGAATAGTCTCAATCTGTGAAGATTTTATCTGAATATCATCTGCAGTGATTACATATTCTAGGAAATTAATCTGATGAGCACTGAAGTTGCACTTCATGAGCTTAACATACAGTTCTGCCTCATCTAAGATCTTTAACACACTTCACACATGCTCAGTGTGTTCTTCCTTCTTCATAAAATACATCATCACATCATTTAGATATATTATCATGAAGACATTCAGATATGCACAAAGTGTTTTATTAATGAAAGACTGGAATGCTGTGAGAACATTAGTCAGATTAAAAGGCATCACTAGATATTTAAACAATCTCAGTGCAGTTCTAAAGACAGTCTTTCATTCATTCTCAGACTGTATTTGCAGCTATACATATGCATTGATCACATTCAGTTATGTGAATATGACAGCTCTCACAAGACAGTTGATCACATTCTTAATCAGAGACAGAAGATAGCAGCTCTTTGTTATCTTGAAGTTCAGGTCACAGTAGTCTACACACAATCTGAGATCTTTATCCTTCTTCTTCACAAATATCACAGAGACTCTCACAGAGGCCTGTGAAGATCAGATGAAGTCATTCTTCAGATTCTTCTCTACATAGGTCTGTAAGACCTCTGTCTTGTGATGAGAGAGCTTATAGATTGATTCTCAGAAGAGTTTCTGCTCTTCTATCAAATCTATTGCCAGATTCTTCTTACAGTGAGAAGAAAGCTCAGCTGCCTTAGCTGGGCTGAACACCTCTGCAAGATCTCAGTATTTCTCTGATATCTGAAGCTCAGTTTTCATGATCACAAGATTCTCAGACACTTGTAAAGTTATTACATAGATAAGCTTATCTTCTTTAATCAACTCTGCAGCATCAACTGCTTCTATCTTCATAAGTGAGTCTGTCAACACTGATTGGAAGTATAAACCTGACTTACAGACAGCTATGTGTGAATTGTGTCTTTGAAGCTATACAAGTCTCAAATACATGTCATCTGTGATATCTGTAATAATCACAGTTTTCACAAATCTTCTTCAGGTTTCAGAGAGATCTTGCAATTCAAAGATGATTCTCACAAGTCTCTCAGCTCTCAGGTCTGAGTTCTCACACCCTGCTTATTACAAGAGCAGATTCCCAGTCTTCATCTTTCAGCTCATTCACTCTGTGAGCTTTAGAGACATCACAGTGACCTGGGATTCTGAGTTCATCAATACTTTTCATACTTGTGAGACAGCAGTACTGCAGTGCAGTCTCTCTCTGCAAGCAAGCATTTTTATTGAAGAAGTAACAGATTCAGATGTCAGCTTCAAGACTCTTAAGAAGGCTGTTGCTGACTCTGTCTGTAACTTCTCAAATTCCTATTTTGATTTATTCAGACAGTTTGTATGAAGATGTTCTGATTTAGAACAGATGAAGCAGAGTCTCTTTTTCTTAATCTTTCTATTGTGCACTCTATTCACAGAAGCTTGTGAAGCTCTCTCTCTCTGCTCAGCAGTCAGATATAAATCTCTCTATGTCTTGTCATCTTTTTCTGACAAATCTGTTCTCTGTTGTTCTGGCCCTTGCAGAGCTGATTGATGATTTGCTCTTCACAGATCTGTGACTCTCACAGTGATCTGTAAGTGATGAATGAGAGTCATCAGTTTCTTCAGGATCAAGAGCTTAGAGCCTTGCTCAATGAGCTTGTTCTGCATATCTTTATTCAGCCTCTTCACAAACATCATCATTCAGATCTTGTTTCAGAACTCTGTTTTCACAGATCTCAATTCATGTCACAATTCTATGAAGTGCTGTAAGTAGTCTTCATCAAATTTCTCATCTCTTTTTCTAATATTAGTAATCACAGCCCAGGTGTTCTCTGTCCAGCTCATGAAGTCTCTCAACTTGTTCTCTAGATAGGTCTTGAGAACAGATCATCAGAATCTCTCATGATCATTCTCTAGATGATTCAGCCAGTCCTTGGCTTCAGTGTAATAGAGGCCTGTTATTACATAGGTGACAGCTTCTTCATCTTTCATGTCACACAGCTGGGCTTGTAAGTCAATTTCAAATGCAAACTTGTAAAAGCTTTTATAGATTATGATTTAATAGATGGTCTTAAGTGATTGCAGCTTGAGAAAGTTTCTTTTCAGTTCATAGGTGTCTCTGAAGATCATGTCTAGAGACTTGATTTAAGAGTGTTTGCAGGCAGTAAGCATTTCTTGTAGAAAAATAGCTTGATCTCATGAGAGATGCTCAAGAATGTTCTTCACTGAGATTGATTCATTTGTGGGTTCAGAGGGTTTCTCTGTCACAGATGCAGAGAATGGTGTCCTGCAAGTGGTTGGTAAGTCCTCTGAGACTTCTTTCATGGGAGTTATTCATGGTTCAGGTGGCTGCTCCTGAGTGCCTGCAGTAGAGTTCACAGGGGTTAAAGCATGTGAGTTTCTAGTTCTTTCAGTTATAACAGGTGATTGCTGACTGACTGAGCTTGAAATGTAAGAATAAGTGCTCACAGATGATTATTCAGGTGTTTGCAGCTTGATGTGATATGTACTGTTAACTACTAGAAGTGTTCACAGTAGAAAGATAAATGTAGAGATCAAATGTATAATAGCATTCAAGCTGAGTTACAAATAGTATTCGCGAACTCCAGTCTATATAGTTGTGTGTAGCCAAGGGCCGCTAGCCCTATTGATTACATGAGAGATAGGAATAGGGGTAAAGAATCCGCGAGGAGCGGGATTTCTTACACTCTGTCACAGATGTAAAGAATGATGTTCTGTGAATGATTGATAAGTTCTCTAAGACTTCTTTTACAGAGATTATTCATAATTCAGATAACTGCTTCTGAGTGTCTGTAGTAGAGTTCACAGAGATTGAAGTATACAAGTTTCTAGTTCTTTCAGTCATAACAGATAATTGCTGATTAACTGAGCTTGAAATGTAAGAATAAGTACTTGCAGACAATTATTCAGGTGTTTGCAGCTTGATATAATATATACTGTTAACTACTAGAAGTGTTCACAGTAGAAAGATAAAATATAGAGATTAAATGTATAATAGCATTTAAGCTGAGTTGTAAATAGTATTCATGAACTTCAGTCTATATAGTTGTGTGTAGTCAAGAGCCGCTAGCTCTATTGATTATACAAGAGATAGAAATAGAGGTGTAACATGGCGGAACCGAAGCAGTGGCTAGTCGGCGGCGTCACGTAGGGGTAGTTGTTTGGGAAGCCGTATGAGTGAGCTTGACTGTCTTGCTTGAATAGCGAGCTCATAGGCTACAAGATTATTGTGAGAATATCACAGATATGATACTTAGTACACTAAGAAGATTGTATGAGGCATGCAGTAACTCTTGTATATATTTCAGTAGAAGTAAAATGAATTACTGACTTCTTTGATGAGAAGTCAGCATCTAGCTATTCTATATAGACAATGAATGAATACTCTTCTTCTATTTCATGAGTGAGAATAGCTGGAGTGATACCTCAGCAGCATCTTATTATCAAGAAAGAGTAATCTGCTGATCTCATATAGAAGCAGAGTTCTCATATTCATCAATTAAATCTTTCTATAATATATCTGAATGATGTCATAGAGTGATTAGAAACTGATTCAGACAGAATGAAATCATCTGTATAAAAGTAATGAGTTATGTGAAACTGCAATGAGGCCTTGGCACAGCTGAGAGCATGACAATACTCTTCTTCTTAAGAATATAGTTTCTATGCTCTCAAGATTATCAGATTAGAAATTATCTTTGTTGTATAGCAATGATTATTAACTGATTAACAGTGTATGTGCTGCATGTGATACAAAGAAATAGATGAGTTGTTCTACTGACTATGTAGATCTTTCTTTTCTCATCTTCATTTAAATCAAATGCATGATAAGTGGGTTCCTTATATATCAATTTGAAATGAGGAAAATATAGTTAATAAGTGACTTACAGATCTCTCATTATATTCTGTTCTATATATGAAATTCTCTGCAAAAGTGATGTGTTTTAGAAGCAAAGCTGACAGTAGTGATAGGATTTTTTAAAAAGATTCTCTCTCTCTGTGAAACATTTTTCTTTCTTCTTTCTCAATCATAACAGTGAGTGTATAAGAGTATCATTCTTGAAGAACAATCAAGGACTTATTCTGATATTTTCTAGTGAGTAAATATCTTCATGATGCAGCAGCAGTCTCTGTGACTGTCAAGAAAGCCAGATTGAAGGCAGAGACAGCAGTGTCACTGAGCTGTGAAAGCACTGCTTTCATTGCCACATCTTCTTCTTCTTCTTCTACTTCTCTTACAGCCGCGGCAGTAGTCACTATGCCCTGCAGTGAGATGTCATTTCTTCTGCTGATTAATTCATCTGTGTTCAGTTCTTTCTCTGCCTCTCTCATCACTGTTGCAACGCCGTCCCCCCTTCTCATTAATACAGTAATGTATGACCTTGTGTGATCATTCAGAGAGGAATCTGGAGAGAGCTTGATTTCAGAGACAGTGGCTTTGAGAAGCTCAATCTGTAGTTTCTCTCTCACACACCTGAGCCCTGCTTGAAATGCTGCTAGGTTGAGTCTGCAGAATCCTGTGATTTCTTCATCTTCTCTCTGTGAGAAGGCTTCAGTGTGGTCTCTGACTGACACTGTTACTTGTCTGTGCTGTGCTAAGCAGCTGAAGAAGAAGAGAATTTTATACATCTGCTTCTTCTCTCACTTCTGTTGTTTCTGTTATGTCTGTAACAATAACTTCTATCTCTCTATAAGTATTATTTCACAGAAAGATATCATATTAACTCTGATAAGAAGTCTAGATGTTCAAGCAGTACAGAGTGAGAGTCTCAGAGCTTCAAGTGTTAATAGATTTCATCAAGACTGAGAAGATCTCTCTTGCTCATCTGTAAAAGAAGACAAAAGTGTGAGTCTCTGAGATAAAAAAACATCTCAGAATGACTGGCTTCAAGAAGAGATTAGTCAGCACTGCTATTGAAAGCACTGTGAAGATCAATCATTGATTGAAGAGAATCTCACTTCAATTGAAGCAGATGACTGAGATGCTTTGTAAGTTGATAAGTTAATATTTCATGTATTTCTCATGCTCTTCTGCAGTATGCTTCTCTGCAGCACTGCAGTACTAACTTCTCAGCAGATAAAGATGCTGATACTGAAGACTTTAACAGTGAAGAATGAGTTTAGTGAGAGTGTAATTATTGATAAGTAGACTCTGATTTCTCTTTTTACTTTTTCAGCAGGCTGCAGCCTCATTAGAATAGCAGCAGTCTGTGAGTCAATAATATTAATCTTTTTATTGATTTCAAATATCTCTTTTCTTTTAATCACTTCAGAAATGTTACACTTGTGTAGTCTCATTAAACTTCTAAAAACTCTTTGAGAGAAAATAGAAGAAGAGTGCTACAGAGTCTATAAGATATCAGCTCATCACTGTAAGATTATCTCTAAAAAACTCTTTGAGAAAAATAAGAAGTCTTAAGTGATATTTCTTGCTCAATATCTCTGACATGTAACAGAGTAATCTCTACTAGTTATCTCATAGATTGTAATCTCTTTCTCAGCATTTTTCAAATACTCAAGCAGTTCTTATAAATTCTCTGATAATGAATAATCTTCTCATTTAACAAGATATTGAAGCTTACTGTAATGTGTTCACTTGTTCAATATTTTCTTCACAAGATATTCAGTATCACTCTTAATCTTGATATTATTCAGTCAAGACAGCTCTGCTCTGAGATATTACTTATAGAGCTTCAAATAGAAAATATGAAAAACAGAATGAATTGATTTCAATTCTGTGAGTAATTTCAACTTATATGTCTGCTTACTCATCACTCTTATTATTAGAAAAGATTCTAGTCATCACTCACTGAGCTTCTTACACAGTCTCATTGTCTTGATATTCTTTGCTGAAAGTAGCACTTGATTCTCTATTGAGAACTTTATCAGAAGATGTTTTCAATTGTAGTATTTTATCTATCACTTCTGAGTGTGATGAATGCTTTTCACTGCCTTCTCATGAATTTTATTCAAAAGTTTCAATCTCACTTTTACTTCTGACACTGAGAGATACTTCATTCTCTGTATCTATCTGATATTTTGACTGTCTATCTCTCTCTTTGAAATGTCATCCGCGATGTCACTGAGTAATAAAGAATTATATTCATAACAAGCATAGAAAGGAGATATCTTTAAGATTGCATTCTTTGTATTGTTATATATGAATTCAGCAGTCAGAAGATGTTTGAGTCAATCATTCTGATAATATGAATAGAACACTTAAAGATGCTGTTCTAGTGTCTGATTCTGATGTTCAGTCTGATCATCAGTCTGCAGATGAAATGTGATACTGAGAAGACATCTTATTATAAGATGATAGTAAAAAGCTGATCAGTATTTGCTGATGAAGAGGGATTCTTGATCTGTTATCAACAATTTCAGAGCACTGTGATTATGAATAATAATATCTAAAAACAGGTCAGTCAATTCAGAGGCTTTAATCTTTTTATAAGTAGAGATATATCTGATCATCTTTATGAAGCAGTTAACAATGACTAAAATTGAGTCATATTCTTTGACTCTTGTTGACTTTGACAGGTCAACTATGAAATTCATTAATAGATTCTGTCATGAGTAGACTGGCCGCTGGGACCATGAATTTCACGTTTGGTCTTATTTGGTCTGGTCCCATACATTTCTTGGCGTGAATCCCGCTGGGACTGGCTATCAAAAAAACAGGTAAAGTGACTATATATCAGATCTTAGAATGGAACCATGACTTGAAAAAAATGAGAAAGTGATCCCATTTGGTCCCATTTAGTCTCATTCTTGGCATAAAGTTACTATTTTTAGACATTTTAAGGTTTTTTTTAGACTATTTTTAATTTTTTAAAAAGTAACGCTTTTTGGTAATGCTCAAATGAGATTTAAAGTCATTTAAAGCAATAAAAATAATTTAAATTGAGAAGTGGAAATCATGGTCCCATTTGGAAAATGTGACAAAAGTAGACAGTAAGTCCCACTGAGACAGTATGGAACTACTATCTAATGTTAAAACCGTGTAATGGGATCAGTCGAATTGGTAATGAAACTATCAAAAAATCTGGTCCTGGTCTCAGACACGGTCACACGGTCAGTCTAGTCATGAGCTCTTTGAAACAGGCAGTGACATCAACTCACTGTATTACTTATGTCATGAGACCTTTATTCTTTGACAGATATTGCAAGTTTTAACATACTCTTTGACATCTGTCTGAAGCTTGTCTCAAGTGTATTTATGTTTTAGAAGCTTCTCAGTCTTCTCTAACTCAAAGTGCCCTGCATGGAGATCATTATAATGAATTCTCAATAACTTCTGACACATCACTCTACTACAAGAGATGAAGACTGAATCATTCAGCAGTAGAAGTTCACATTCTTCTAGTTATCAGTAACTTGATTCCTTAGCAGCATCATCTCACTCAGAGCCTGTCTCTTTCAAGTTCAAACCAGATTCTTTCTTCTTCAACTTCTGAATTTAAGCTGTAGTAGAGATGTCTCTCTTCTGTAACTCATCAATGAATTTCAAAAGTAGTCAGATTGAAAGATTATAGACTATTTCATTCTTTGCCAATTCAATGATTGCAAGATGTGATATGAGAAGCTTATGATCTTCAGTGTCAGTTCTCTGTGAGAACCTGAGTTCTCTTTCATCTTCTATACTGAGTCATGCAGCTGTCTCTCTGGCGCCATTTCCAAGCTTTAGAGAATCTCAATCCTCTACAGCCAGCTTCTTCTACAGTGATGACAGAGGTTCTTTTATAGAATTCTTCTTCACATCAATGATATTATAATCAGGCTGTTTAGACAGCATATTGATGAGGTTAAGCTGATCTGAACAGTATTGAATATAGAAATCATACTCTGAAAGCAGCTCTGTTCACCTGACTTGATATTCTGTCAAGCTCTTTGTTATCAAGAAGTAACACAGATTTGCATGATCAGTGAGAACTTGCACTGAGTACTTACTACTCTGAAGATAATGTTGTCAGATCTTAAAGAATTTGATAATTGCTAACATCTTCTAATCATGAGTATCATATCTTCTCTGTGTAAGTGATAACTTCTTGAAGAAGAAGATCACTGATCTTTATTTACAGTGTCTTGTAGACTCTGTGAAAAAGTCTTCTCTCACAGACAATTCATTGTCTGTTTCTTCAGAGATGATTATTCTCTGATTCTTTCAATGTTGAAAGGTCTTCAGTGTCAACTGTGAAAAGATTTCATAGATCTCATTCTCAGATGCATCAGTCTCACACTGACTGAGTAAGTCAGAGTTAAAGTGATTCAGCATCATAATATCTGTGAAAGCTTGTTTCAATTCTGTAAATACCTGCACAGTGTCTTGAGTGAGAATAAACAGTCTCATTTTTCTGTCTTTCACACTTTCCTTCAACAGATCTGTAAGAGAGGCAGTAATCTGTGAATATACATAGATGAATTGTCTATAGAAATTCACAAATTCTAGAAACATCTGCATCTTACAGTATATTCATGACATCAGCCAGTTCTCAATAATGAAGACTCAGCTTCTGTTCATTGAAATATCATTCATCTTAATAACATAACCTAAGAAATCAATCTCCTGTATGTAGAATGAGTATTTTTCAGTGTTTGCATAGAGTTGATACTATCTCAAGTGACTCAACACTTCTCAAACATGAGTATTGTGTTCTTTCTTCATTTTTGAGAAGATTAGAATGTTATTCAGGTATACTATACAGAAGACATCAACAAGGCCCTGCAGTGTCTCATTTATATAGGTCTGAAAGGTGACTGAAGTGTTACAGAGATTAAAAGGCAAAACAAGATATTCAAAATTGCTGTACTTGATATGAAAGACTGTTTTTCAAATGTCATCTTCATTAACTCTGATTCTATGATAGACATTCTGTATATCAATCTTTGAGAACATCTTTGCTTCAGATAATCAATTAATCATCTCATCAATCAATGATAATGAATAGTGATTCTTAATTATTACCTTGTTGAGACCTCTGTAGTCTATGCATAGACATAGTCTATTATTCTTCTTAAATACAAAGAGTATAGACACTTCTGTCAGACTCTTTGATAGATGTATTCAGTTCTTTGATTACACTTCTTTAAGATATTTATGTAGAACATTCAACTTCTTTACAGACAAGTTGTAAAGAGACCTGTACAGCACTGTTGCACTGTCTTCAAGACAAATCTTGTATCATATCTTGATATCAGAAAACTTCACTGCTTTCTTTTCTGAAAAGACATTCTTAAAATCTGTAAAGAGATATTGTATACATTCATCTTCAATGACAGATACTGCTGCTAATCTTGCAGTGAGAGTGATGACTTCTTCATCTATTTTCAAGTCTCAATCATCTGCTATACAGTATATTGACTCAATTCTTTTCTCAAGATTCTTCTGATGAAACTCTTCAGATTTCTCTATCACTGTCTCTTCATTAGTGAGACAGTACTGTCACATCTAAGTGACTCAGTCAATGAGAGAATTGTTTTCTCTCAATCACAGAAGATCTAGAATGATGTTCTCATCTATGATGTTAACTGCATGAAGAAGCAGACTGCTCTTCTTGAAGATTTCTTCTGAGTCTGTGATCACACACTTTGCCTGAATTATGCTAAAATAGTGATATTTTATTTCATCAGTAAATTTCACATGGCCTGATAAATCTATCTTCTTTCAATTTTTTATCAAAGAAAAGAAATAGAATATAAAGTTGATATCTGCTTCAGAGTTAAGTAGGTATCTCACTGATATCTTTTCATTCAGAGTATGCATTGTGATTATAACATGAACTTAGAGATGTGAGAATTATCAATTCTTTTCTTTCTCTTCTTTATCTTTCATGAATATGTTTGTCAGAAGAGAAGTCAACTTTGAGAAGATATCTTCTCAGTTTCTTCTCTTCTTCAGCTTCTTATAATCACTGATATAGTGACTATCAGCTCTGCAGTTGAAACAGAGATCTTTGTCAAATCTTTTTTAATATTTCTTCACAGTGAGTGAAGAATCAGAATACTTGAAATTCTTCTTTATTTTCTCTACACTGAAGCTGTTATAACACTGTTTAGATCTCATCATTGATTACTTAGAAAGAGTCTTGTTAGTCTTTTTCTCAGAGAATTGATTATTCAAATAGATTCAGAAAGTCAGATTGATAAGCTCAGTGTAATTGATTAATGAACTCTGATATTATAATATTATTGTTCACATCTTATGAGTCAGCTTTGTAAGATAAAGCTGTGTTTTTAATTAGTTCAAATTATCAGTCAATTTCTCTCAATATTCTTCAAATCTTGTATTGAAATTGAAAGAATTCTCATTATCTTATTAATATAATGAGTTGAATCACTGTGTCACTGTGAAGCTGTAATTGTAATGATCTTTAATTTAATTCAGTAGAAAGTTCTTGAATTCTTCTTAAGTTATGATAGTATTGATATGCTCAAGCTCTCTTTTCTTAATAACTCAAGTAGTCACAGAGATGTCTTCAAGAAGGTTGACAGTGTATATTACTCATATCTCATGAGTATTATACTGGCTCAGATTAAGGCAGAATTTCTGTTCAAGAGTATAGATAAAGCTGTGAAATTCAGATAAGATATTTCTCTTATATCTTAGTGAATCTCTGATCTTAATCTCTCTATCTTCATAATAGATGTAGATGTGTAGAGGTCATGACAGTGATAGAGTGATTGAAGAGCTCATGTCAAAATATACAGCAGTTTCAGAAATCTCAGATTCCTGCTGAGATAGAGATGTACACACTCTAGGAAATAATGTAGTGTTTCTCTCAGAGAGTGAGATCAGATCAGTCTCAGTGTGAGTGCATGAGATCATATTGATCTGTTAGAGCTTGACTGATTCAAATATGTAATCAGATTGAGTGATTCAAATTGTAATATAACAGAACTGAAGTGATGACTAGTCAGTGATATTATATAGAGATAGTTGTTTAAGAAGCTGTATAAGTGAGCTTGACTGTCTTGCTTAAATAGTGAGCTTGTAGGTTATAAGATTATTGTGAGAATATCATAGATATGATACTTAGTACACTAAGAAGATTGTATAAGACACACAGTAACTTTTATATATATTTCAGTAGAAGTAAAATGAATTACTGACTTCTTTAATAGAGAGCCAGCATCTAGCTATTCTATATAGACAATAAGTGAATATCCTCCTCTCATTCCATGAGTGAGAATAGCCAGAGTGATACCTCAGTGATGTCTCATTATCAAGGAAGAGTAATCTGCTGACCTTGTATAGAAGTGAGGTTCTCATATCCATCAATTAAATCTTTCTATGATATATCCGAATGATGTCATAGAGTGGTTGGAAACCGGTTCAGACGGGATGGAATCATCCGCATGGAAGTGATGAGCCGTGTGGAACCGCAACGGGGCCTTGGCGCGGCCGGGAGCGTGACAAGAGGTAAAGAATCCGCGAGGAGCGGGATTTCTTACACATTTTCAACAAGACTTGATAGCATATGTTTATATAGAGACTTGAAATGAATTCTTCACTTCTCAGAGTTAATATAATGTGTAAAAGAGAATTCTCATTAAGTTCTTAATAAAATATCAGTTTTATTAATAACTTCTGTATTAGTTAACATATTAACATATCAGACTTTATAATTAGAGTTATTAAATATAATTACTGATTTAATATCTAATGTATATTTAACTTTCTTCTAATATTCTTATAACTCATCTCTTATAGTATCTTTTTATACAGATATAGTGAGATATTAAGTAGTTTCAGCTGCAGTTATCTAGTTCTGTAGTATTATCTGTATAAGATTCATAAGATTGCCTGCAGTGTAATAGATAGATTAATTCAGATTATTATTAAAAGTCAGCATTCTGAGAATGAAGAATAGTGAAGAATTTAATGAGTTGAAATGAATAGATTCTATAAATGAATATTAATATTAACTCTACTTTTCTTTGTTCTGAAGTTTCTTTATTATCTTATCATTATTAAATTTCATACTCTGATGAAAACTGATCTCAGTCTCATCTTACAAGTTAGAAGCTTTCTTATAATAAGTGATTATTCTATCAATGAGTTATCTAGTAAAGTATGTGATTCTGAGTCTTGAGCTGAACTCTGAAGTAATAGATGTATCACTTATATTAAGATGACTCTGCTTCTTCTAGATATATAAAAAAAAAAAAAAAAAAAAAAAGTGATATTCTTCACAATGAAGAACATGCTTTCTTAAAAATATAAAGTATATGAATTCACTGACTGACAGATTCAGAGAAAATGAAATATCTCTAATAAAGAGTAAGAGTCTTTTTAAAAAAGATGAACTATCTGTGTCAAAAATGTTGATACAATGTTCTAAAAAGAAAACGTGTCATTCAGGCTATAACCTGTAGAATAGTTGAAGATCGTGTATTGATAGATCTATCTACAAGAACATAATATAGTGGTGGGTCACGTGATCTAGTGGGATCGCTAACCGCAACGGCCGTAAGGGCCAACACAGGCCACATTTGCAAGGTCAGCTTACATAACGAGGTCAAGTGGCGCACTTAGCGAGGTCAAGTTTTCTGCTTCCTGCAAGCTAGCAACCTTTCAATCAAGCAAGCTTTACACCTTCCACAGTTGCACCTTAAATTTTTAGTACTCATCAAAACTTTTGAGAGGATCCTCCGTAGAGAGATGTGACTCTGAGTGAAATCAGGTGTTTAGGAATCATTTTGCGCTTTAGCATCTGACGGCTGACGGGGATATCACAAGACTATCTCAATTCATTCATTCTAAAGAAAATCAATCGCCCACTAGCAAATATTAACATCGGAAAAGGGCAGAAAATCAAGTTTCCCACGCAGCAGGCTTAAGAAGCTAAAAAACTATCGGAGAACAGGGGAATATAGCTGCAAGAGCTACAAAACACCGTCCAAGAATTGTTGATCAGAGATGCCTTTTCAATGCGTCCGCAAAGTAACAAGGTGGATGTGCCGAACGCTGTTATCATCTCCCCATCCAACCTCCTACTAGTAAGCCACTTAAGCCACCCCCGAAGGGATAGAGAGCTACGATAGCTAGAGGGGAGGAGAGTACATTGTTCATATGGTACACGCTAGGCTTTCATCATCTATGGCAAAAGAGGCATGTTAGCATTCTTATGCTTGAGTTTCGATTTCGAGGAATTCAGCATTTTAGGGGACTCACTTGTTCAAAACTTGGAAGGATGGAGAAAAGAAAGGAAAAGGAAGAGAAAGTCGAAAGTCGAAGTTGAGATTTTTATGTTGTGTGAAGTCTTGGCATCATGTTTGTTCATCTGTCAAACAGCACTGAGCAACTATTAATGCGGCAACCCCAGGGACATTTCGGTGCAATAAGACATTCATATTTTTGGATCTCAATTGTCCGGACCCGCGCCTGAAACCCCTATGCTCCCCACCCATCTTTCTCCGGGAGCCCTTCGGCTTGCCGCCATACGGCGTCAAAGCTACCTTGAAATATCAAATTATATACGAGGAATTCGAGTCGCCTACTCCTGGGGACCAATATGCAACTCTGGATGCGTCCGAGGTTTTCATGCCGGAAGTTGGTCGCGCCAGCAGAGCGCTGCTTGCTCTCCGTCGTGTCGCTCCCATCTTGAAGAATACAAACAATCTAGTACGAGGACGGACATCTAGCCTAGTTTTCATATCATTGCCAGTTTGTAAGAGGAATTTTTGACTAATTTGATATTTTATCTGTATAGTAAACTTTCCAGCTGCCACAGTTGACCTCAAATCACTTATAGAACGTCCGGCTTTGGGCCAGAAGGTTGTGCTCCATGGCTACCTAGGGAAGCGAGTCGATATGGGAAAGAGGATGGCCTTTGTTCGCCTAACTGATCCAATTCTGTCACAAAATGTTCAGATCATAGCTTTTGCAAAAGATAAATCCTTTGCCAAGCTGAAATCCATTGAGGCAAATAGCCCCGTGGTTGTGCAGGGGGTCGTACAACAAAAACAACCTAGTTTGAAGGAAAAGCCAGACGCTAGGGAGGGGCAGGAAGCCAAGGCCGACAGTATAGAGATTGCCTTGGAGGACATACACTGTCTTAATGAGTTTCCTAAGGACATTATCATGACCCCTGACACAGTTTTCCCCCCGGAAAAGCGGCATTTGCAGATCCGAGCCGATAGCAAACTTCGTGATGCACTGCGATTCCGTGCGCGAGCTAGAAATGTCTTGCGAGAAGCATTGGAAGAATGCCAACTACCTTTCATAGAAATCGAAACACCTCTACTGTTCAAATCTACCCCCGAAGGAGCAAGGGAGTTTTTAGTTCCCACGAGAAGACGTGGGATGGCATACGCACTCCCACAAAGTCCGCAACAATACAAACAAATTCTCATGGCTAGCGGCATTCCGAGATATTACCAATTCGCCCGTTGTTTCAGGGATGAGGACCTTCGGGCAGATAGGCAACCGGAATTTACGCAGGTACTCAACCCCGATCCCTTTTCAAGCTTTGGGTAGCAGTGCCTCTAACTCGTCCGAGTAGCTCGATTTAGAAATGTCATTTGCAACTGGGGAAGATGTGATAACGGTAATCGAAGCTGCTGTGAAAAAGCTATGGTCTTCCTTAATGACACACTCTTTACCCTCGGAGAGCTTCCAGAGGACCACTTATGAAGATGCCATGGCCAAGTTCGGATCAGACAAACCAGACGTACGAATCGGCATGGAGATCAAGCGGATTGAGCACATGGTACCCGTCGACCTCGTTAGTAAAATCAGTCCACTGCATAATCCCATAGTTGAAGCCATGAAACTAGAAGGAAACGAGAACCCGGAAGATATGCGTAATTTCCTCAATTCGTTCATGGACTCTCCTGAAGCGAGTATCTTCCATAAAAATCCCGCAGGCGGACCTGGCGCCTTCGTTTACGACTCTAGAAAACCCCTCTCGGGACTCCAGCCGTTTGGATTCGAAGCGACATGGGTTCTCGAGCAAGAACTAGACCTGAAAGACGGAGACCTACTCATAATACAAGCTCGCGAGAACGCACCCTTTTCCGGAGGTTCCACTCCACTAGGTGATCTTCGTCGGGAAATCCATAAAGCGGCCGTGGAAGCCGACCTCACACCCGCCCCTACAGGTTTCCACTTCCTCTGGGTCCAAGAATTCCCCCTATTTTCCCCCATTACCGATTCCGAGCCCGGCCAAGGAGGCGCAGCCGGCATTGCATCCACACACCACCCCTTCACGGCCCCGCTGCGCGAGTCAGATATATCCCTTCTACTCACGGACCCAACGAAAGTAATCGCAGACCACTACGATCTAGTCCTCAACGGCGTCGAACTCGGCGGCGGAAGTCGACGTATCCACTCTGCCGCGGTCCAAGAATTCATACTTCGCGACATCCTGAAAATGCCCGCCGAGAGGCTTGCTGACTTTGCGCACTTACTTGAGGCCCTGAGGGCCGGGTGCCCACCACATGCTGGCATTGCACTGGGGTTCGATAGACTCGTGGCAGTTATGCTGGGCAAGGAGAGTGTGCGGGATGTAATTGCGTTCCCGAAGTCTGGGAAGGGAGAAGATTTGTTGATTAAGTGTCCAAGTGAAATGACGGAGGAGTCGTTGCGGACCTATCATCTTCGGTTGCGGGATGAGGATGCTGATGGGGAGCAGAAAATAGAAGGGGATTTGGGGGAGGCAATTAGGATAGGGGATCATGCTACTCCTGGAGCTGGTTAGGTACGATATGGGAAACAGCTTCTCATTGTTCTTCACTCCTTCTCCTCCTCCTCAACGGGGTTTGATACACGCCTCGTTATGTTGTTGATAGATGTTGGCATACCAGTTTCTTAATTTCAGGAGCCCTTGGGATTTATGTATTAATAGATTAGATACCAACCATATTTATTTAGACTTCTTCTCTCTATTTCTCTCTATACAGTAGATTGTTTTTAAATAAGAGTTAGCGCACACTTCGATCAATGAACTTATCATCTACCACATGAGGAGTAAGCTGACCAGCGCTTAACTCCGGACCCCGGTTTCTTGTAGCTACTGTATGCATTTTTATAATGGTCACAGATTTTCCTTTCATTGTTCGTAAATCATGGTATGTTCATATCCACCCTTTTCTACCTACACACATACAGAGCGTCCCATTGGCTCGTCACACTTAATATTAGTACGCCTAGATTCATGTTTGGCCAGGTTCTTTTCACTCTGTTCCTGCCATCCCGAGTCTGCGCTTGCGTATTGAATATTTTATACGATTTAATTGCATATTTGCATTTAACCAATCTTTGCGTTGGAAAAGTCCATCTCTACAGAGCAAAGGGAAGTAGTCGTCAGCAATTCACAAGCTTCCAAAACCAAAGGTAAAAGCAAACATAAACCGCGCAAAAGAGATATATAATAGGAAATTTGAAAAAATACTCACCCGGATGCTCTTTCTGGAACTTCCTCAACAGCTCCATCTTCTTCTCCTCATCACTCGTCGGCTTCCCCATCTCCTTTTGCCGCTGATCATACATCATCTTCTCTACCATACTCCTCGTCGCACCGTCCAAATCTCCTAGCTTTGAATTCTCAGGCGTGATCTTCGACACGTCAATGCGTGGCGCGGACGTCACGATATGCGGCCACCATTCCATTTGGTTAACTTTATCGAGGTGGATAGAAATTTCTTTGCCGGGGGGCTGGGAGGTGGGCTCGAGGGTCCAGGCCGATTCGTCGACGCGGATTGGGTGTGGGAACATTCCCTATGCCAATGTAAATGTCAGAAGAAAAGGCAAAGAAATCAAAGAAATCAAAAATCAAAAAAATATGTACGGATTATAAACATGATTGTACTCCATGTCCGTACATACATCGATAAACGTCTCTCCGCCTTTAATGCCGACGAAGATCTTAGTCCTACTCAAATCTACCTGCAAATCCCGCCCTCTGATATTTGCCGCTACAGGAATCGTCACATCGGCATCTTTAATCGTTTGCGTCCATTTGTAGGGTAGTGTGGCTTGTTCTGCGTCCTCTTTTGCCTTGCGTTCACGCTCTTCGCGTTCGCGCTCTGCGATAACTTCCTTGCTTGGACCTGTCTCAGTGTCTGACATTGCGTTTAATTTCGGCTGAGGAGGAGTTTCGGTTCGATATACTGTCCGTGGCAAGAATATTCCTTTGGTTCCTTTCCTGGCTTGCTTTTCCTGAGTGAAGTTTGAATAGAAGAAGTCTAGCGTGGTTAGGTGGGCGCCCAGAAGCCTTCGCCGCAACTCTTAATGTTTTGCTTGTGGTGGGGCGGCAGGTTGCGGATTTCCCTAGCTCTTCAGTCGGCACGGAAAGAGTTATGGGTAGTTAGTTAAATAAGGGAAAAAAAAAAAAGAAGAAAAAAGAAAAGAAAACCTAGAAGCATATGACAAATAAAGAAGATATCCACCAACAGACCCTCTACCAGCCCGTTGTCTTGGTCCTAATGTCTGTATTTCTACGAGGTTCTTTAGAGCTCTGACGGGTGCTGGAGATCAGTAGGTAGCAAGCTTTCAGATTGAATAGCAAACTGAGCAAACATCTTATCAGAGAGATATACAACATCTCCCCCGACGTTCGAATATAACCACGCAGGAGAAATAATATAGAAAACAGAAGAGATAATAGAGACAATCTAAAATTAACTAGATTTTAATCAAAATTTCCCTTTTTTTTCTCCCTCACCTTCGCGAGAATCAAACCCAGGAAGCTGGCCCTTTTATTGGCAGCACACCAGCAGAAGAAGACGAAATAGATAAAAAGGCGAACGAACGCTAAAAGGAAAAAGGAGAATAAGGAGGAGAAGCAAAATAGCCCGGTATACCTTAATTCCATGCTATGGCGACGAGGGAAACGGAAAAAGTGCTAACTACAAAATAAGAAAGTAGACGCCCGAAACGACGCCGTAAAACCACAAGTGAAAGCTACGTGACATGGAAAAGCAACAAATCCAACTGATCACACACTCATCTCCGAAAAAAAGTCCAAGAAACACCAAAGTCCCGAAGCACACTTGGACTAGCCATATCACAATCACGGGCTCGGAGTGCATTCTTCGTATCTAGGTCCGCCATCATCACCCGCGCTAGGTGTAGCTGGAATACCCGCCCCCATCGCTGGAGTAGGAGCATCGTACGGTCTCCCACCTCCGATGGCAGCAGGGGTTGGAGCATCGTACAGCTCGCCGGTGCGTTTGGCAGAATAACCTGAAGCATCCGGCGTCGGCGCATGGATCGCACCAGGCGTGGGTGCATTGTCTGCCCAACCATGTGGTGTTGCAGCAGTGGCACCAGGTGTCGGGGCGCCACCGTAGGGGCCAGGTGTGGGTGCGGAGTAATCCGTGCTCGGGGTTGGGGCATCGTAGCTGCTTTTACTTCCGCTACTATGTCCGATAGGTGGAGGCGCTGCGGATCCGGGCGCCCATGCAGGGGTCCGCGAGCCACCGCCAGGATACGCCGGTGTTCGGGAGCCAGCGGCGAAAGCATCGAAGCCCGAAGTCGAGGAGCCGCCGAAACCAGAGCTGGAGTCATAGGGGGTCTTTGTTCCGGAAGTCCAGGCAGGGGTGCGGCCGCCGCCAAATGTGGTACCGCCATATGCGGTTCGGCTGCCGTCGTATGGGTTTGAAGTACGGGAACCGTCCGCTTTCCATGCCGGGGTGCGAGAGCCGCTTGCTGTTGCAGAGCCCCAGGCTGGTGCTGTTGGATTTGTTAGGAATGGATCAGGTTGTTGACAAAGAATGGGAATGAATACTCACTTCGTGAGGAAGAAGACCGCCATGCAGGAGTGCGTGAGGGGTCATTTGCAGCCAGAGGTGTGCGACTTCCTGACCAGTCGGGGGGAGCTGCAGAGCTGCCGTAAGGGATTCGGCCCCGCCCGGCTCCACCACCGCCTCTACCGCCGTATCGGGAGAGATCAATTGAAGCACCAGTGATAGGACTATGTGGATGGTCAGATTGGACAAAGCTTTTAATGGAGGCGGAAGGAGACACATACTCTTTTATGGCGAGCATATCCTTGTCCACCGTAATCACCTTATTCTTCGAATGCAACTCAACCCGCGCTTGAGCATCAGTCGTATCTTTAACAATACCCAACAGGCCCTTGAAGGGGCCTTTTCGAATCGTAACAGTCTTGCCAATAGTCCGATCCCTACCAAACGACTTCGGTGGTGGCATTCCGCTGCCATTCATTCCATTTTTCTGGATTGCTGGGTTCATCCTCGAGAAATCGGGAGCAGACCGGCTGGCTAATCTCCCGCCGCTGGTTGCGACCGTAGTAACATTCGACGCTCGTGTAACAATGATACCCGCGTTGTCGCTTGCGTCTTTGTTGTTAAGGAAAAGGAATGAACGGTGGATGTGGATAATGGCGCCTGTTCGTTGTTCTCCGGTAACTTCACGGACTGTATCGCCGCTTCTGATCTCCGAGCCATTACGATCTGTGGAGACGGCATTGCGACGCTGGAGGATTTTATTCATGACTTGGGACGGCAGTACAGTTCTAACTGATCCGTTTTGATCAAGGACCCGCATCGATTCTCGATCTAGCTTGATAATACAACCGACAGTTGCTTGGCTGCAAAAGTTATTAGTACAAGTACAGGCGTCAAGGGGCTATGGAAATTGTTTCCTGGGAGAAGCACTTACTCAAGCTGCACGAGATCATGAACATCATACATGCCAAGTTTCCCATCAACACCAGCATCCGCAGCTTCTCGAATATCCTTGCTGAACACCGTGATTTCCTGCATACTCATGTCGCTGAGCAAAGTAACCCGGTCATCCTTAATGCGAACCACCATACCCAACTCGTCACGGAATCGACTGCCGCCAATGACTTTAACATGATCACCTTCTTGGAAGCGTTTCCTGAGGCCCTTGATAGGCACATCTATCTGCTGTCCTTCAAGTTCGCCTTGCGTAACCTTAATGGAGACAATATCCCCGCGGGTGGATACCGTCCGGCCAACCACACCTTGCTGCTCGCCTTGGAAAACCTCAACAGTATCCCCAGGGAGATATGAGTCTTCAGTAGTCGTATTTTTAAGACTCGCAGCCAAAGCAGCAAGATCAAGATTCGCAGTGCCATCATCGGCACCACGGGCGAACTTGGTAACCTCATCAAGTTGTGGGTTGACATTTTTTGTAATTAGATGCTGCACTTTCATATCTTTGATAAGGAACCCGTCAACGTAATTATCGCCAAGGTAATTCCAAGTCTTCCCTCCAAGCCCAGAGGTAGCACTCAGATACCTTGCATGCTTTTTCTTAGCCTCTGCTTCGCTGAATGGTCGTTGCGGCGGGCGAGCAATGGCACTATTAGCACCTGGTCTCTTCCGTTTCACATCACCATTAGGTGCGCCCATATCTTCGTTTAAACCGTAGTCCAGACGAGGAACAAGCCTGACAGTAACGTCCAGTCCGTTCGTCTCGACATCTTCGAGCTGCGCCAAGTCGCCCTGGTACTTCCCTCGCTTGATGCGTACCCAACCACCAGGGATTAGCTGTTCCGATTTGGTTACCCTGAGTAGATCGGGCATTTCCTTCACGGAGATCAATATCATCTTCGACTTGGTATATACATTCGACATATCGTTCAGGGCATCGAGGACGTCGGCCTGCTTGCGGGCTTCAACATAGATATATCCACTCATAGTTCCGCCCCGCTCGAACGCAGACATGATCCGAATCGGCCTCCTGGAGTCCGGTGGACGGTCCTCGATTCTCTTCATAATGTTAAAAACAATCTCCCTTTCCTTGCCAGGGCGACATTTGACGGCCCATATACTCGGATCATCAACACTCGGTAGCAGTAATCGCTTCGGCACAACGACCAGATCTGCTGCCGCAGCTCGGTTCCGGCCGTACCGTTCTTTAAGGGCCTGTGCTTGTTTCTCAGCATCCATTGTAGCCTCTAGATCTCGCTTCCGATCCAGCTCGCGATGTCTTCGATCATCAGTCTCCGCGCCAACGGGTAAAGCGTCGAGATCGTCAGGGTGCTCTGCGACGAATCCATCACCCATCTCCTCCTCGTCTTCTTCAGCATCATCTTCTTCGTCAACTTCAGCTTCAACCTCAAGGAAGGCATTGATTCCCCGCCGTCTACGTTTCCGTGGTCGACCCTAGAATAAAAGGCATCAGTAAACCCGATCCAACACCTCTTTCTTTTTATGTCCTCAGTCGTGATAACCTGGCTGGCGATGCCAGAACAGAATCCAACTAAACTCACCGAAACAGCCTGCTCATCCTCGTCATCATCGTCATCTTCTTCGTCCTCCTCTTCTTCCGAACCTCCAGCATCCCTGTCCCCACCACTCTCATCCACGTCCCCATAATCCTCTCCCTCTCCATTCTCGCTATTCTCAGCCTTCTCTTTTCTCCGCAAAGATTCATTTTCTTCTTGGTCTTCCTCGTCGCCCCCTCCCCCTACCCTAGACCTATCATCCCTCGCCACATCATCGTTAGGTGTTGCCCCCCGTTTCTTCTTCGGCCGGTCATCATCGGAATCCTCGACGGGGGCGGGATTAAAGTCATCATCTTCCTCTTCGGATCCGAAGTCCTCATTAAGGAAATTGCTGGGCGGGTTAGACATTGTGTAGTTGCGTGAGGCGCTGACGAAAACTTTCGATAGTTTTGCTACACGTGTTTTTACTTTCGCCGGTGGTCGAGGTGTTGCGCTCAGAATAGTGAAGACAATAAGGGTTCATGTACCGTTATGTACGTGTCTGGATCTATGGCCTCAGTACTTTCGCCTGCCTGTAGAAATACAAGCCCCCGAAGCTCGAGCTCGTTAGGATGAGGTTTGGTAGTTACCAAAGGCGCAATCGTACCGAGGGTATCTCGTGTCGCAATCGGAAGATTTCAAACAGCCTTCTGTAGATGAAAACGGAAAGGTAAGATTAGAGAGTGCAACGTGCTCCCTGCTTCACAAGCGCCTGGCGTGAATGGGAAGTAGTGAAAAGGATAAGCATTAGCGATGAGCAGCGGTTGAGATTCTTTGCAAGTTTGATGGATGCGCTTGCGGCGCTTAACGGCAGCCGTATTCGGCCAATATAGATTGGCGCGTTTTATACATCACGTGATGTATTAATTGTTTAGAGACGCAGTGGCTCCTTGGCCAACAAGCGGGATTATGGATTATTTACCTGGTGCAAGTGACATCATGCAACAACTGGATGAATACTGACACAATACATGTCTAAATAACAAAAAATAAATCGAAGAACAGCAAGGCTGGAGAACTGATATCCACCCAGCATGGGTAACTTAGGCCGAACGGAAACAATCCCCAAAATGCAGAAAAAATAAATTAAAAATAAATTAAAATACAATAAAATAAAATAAAATAAAATCCCGGAGATCATAGCATGCCAGTCTTGGTCTTTGAAATAAAGGAGAAGTAGAAGAAATATGTATGGATGGTATGCGTGTATGTACAGTACATGTACATGTACATGAAATGAAAATTGGATATGGAATGAATGTCCCCCAGGATAAGTTAAAGAAAAAGGGAAAACCACAAGAAATCATAAAAACGCCAGCAACCTACAGATTCATCCCAAAGAATTGGTGAACCTTCAAACTCTGCCTCATACTAAGATCCAACATAATCTCCTCGCTCCCGCCGGGGATCGCATACGCGCGCACATCCCGATACAACCGCTCAATCTTACCCCCCTGACCACCCCGAGTATAACTCAAACCACCAAAGATCTGACTGGCCTCTCGCGCGCAGAACTCGAAGGTAGTGGTCGATTGTGCTTTCAGGCCCGCAATGGCACCGCCCAAGCGGAACGCGGCCTCCGTGTCATCCATAGACTGGCATTGGAAAACGAGGTTTTCGAGCCAGTTGTGCGAAGCTTCGATCTGGCGCGCCATGTGCGCGAGCTTCATGCGGATCACTGGGTGGTCGATCAGGCGCTTGCCGAAGGTGTGGCGCTTGTGGGCGTATTTGACGGATTCTTCGTAGCAGACGCGCGAGAAGCGGACGCATTGGATTATTATACCCATGCGTTCGTGGTTGAAGTTCATCATGATCACTCAAAGAGTAGAGTATATATGCGTTAGAATTACGTTAAGAGGACTTGGGATATTGCTTCAAGAGAAAGGTGGGTATGGGTGAGGTCTTTGATCACCTACCTTTGAAGCCCTGGTTCCCCTTGCCGATCAGGTTCTCAACGGGCACCTTGACGTCTTCGAAGGTGACGTAGGCAGTGCCACTTGTTGACATACCCTGACAATCCATCTTGCGGGTGCTGACTCCACCAGCGGACCGCTCGATGAGCAGTACGCTAATACCGTTCATGCCCGGTTCGCCAGTCCGCACAGCGGTTGTGAAGTAGTCAGCCCAAATGCCGTTGGTAATCCATTTCTTCTCACCGTTGACAATATAATGCCTCCCATCTGGCGTCAACTTAGCCTCGCAGGAAATGTTGGAAACATCGCTTCCACAATCCGGCTCGGTAATGGCTAGACAGATGCGCTTATCACCAGACAAAATAGCTGGAAGGATGCGCTGCACCAATTCCTTCTTTCCATATTTGATAACTGGCGGGCAGCCGATACCAAAACCACCAATCAGGTTCCATACGAGACCACCGCTGGCGGCGCGCGAGAGCTCATCGGTGACAATCAATTCATGGAAGAAATCCCACTTCTCTGGCGGTACACATTTTACTTGGTTCTTGGACAGGGCCGGTTCATACGCCACACCCATCAAACCAGCCAGATAGCCTCTGTCTCCCATTTGCTTGTAGAGATGTTCGGGGATGGCCTTCGCCTCGTCCCAGTCATGGACATGTGGATCGATCTCGGACTCTACCCATTCCCGAACCTCCTTACGGAGAGCAGCGTGGGTCTCATTGTAGTACATGGAGGTGTACTGTTCAAGGGGAAATAAGAGAGGGAGAAGGATAATTTGTTAGCCAATAATGTTCTGTCTTCATGAACGAAGTCTTTTGTGAAATGATTAGATCTGCAAAGTGTAGAAAGGACAGAGACATACACCCTGGTACCAGGCGGGGTCCGCAAAAGGAACGAGGTCGCCATATGGCTCTAGAGCAACGGGTGCAGCAGTTCGGGATGCGACAGCATTTTCAGAATTGGACGATCCGGCCGCCGGAGGTGTGGCAGGCGGGGATGGAGGGGGTGGTGGTGCAGCTGCAACTTTCTTCGAGTCCAAAGATCCAACCTTCAGTTGGGGGCTGTACTTTTTCAAAACGCCAGCATTGTGGTATTTCCAAAATTGCTTCGAGGCATCCTTTCCAGCGACTCGCTGCAAGACTAGTTGGAGGCCATTATAGTCAGCACCGTCTCGAATTAATACATATAGCTACCAGCTCGGGCAGGGAACCAATGTTGCGGACCAACGCAAAGTACCACATACTCTTTTTTCCGCCAGGATGTTCATCCTGGAACTTGGTGAGGTCGTAGACATCTTCATCAATGATAATCCAGAGGTTGTCCGGCTTGTTGTGAGACGTCACAGCGTCCTTCGAGAAGACTTCAGACATTTTCTCCCCCCCCCCCCCCCCAAAAAAAAAAAAAAAAAAAAAAAAAAAAAAAAAAAAAAAAAAAAAAAAAAAAAAAAAAATCGAGGACTCCTAGCCCACAGGAATACGAAACACAATGAATGATAAGACTAAAATATGAAAAGAAAGGAAAAGTATCTCCTAGAGAAAGATAGGAAGAGGTTTGAAAAAAAAAAATCCGACAAGATAAATAAAGACGGGCGGATTATACTTTTTATATCATCATAAGGTACAGAGTATAAAGACAACAAAGGCCTTGTGCTCCCTTTCTAGTCCCAGGAGAAATACCCCATAATAATAATAACCACCTGTCGGCTGTCGCATGTCCTTTCATTTCTCTCTTCCGCTCTTTTTTGTCCTTTTAGTTGAAGAATCTTTGATCCTTTCGTTCCGCATTCTGCCCTTTGTTGGCGGCAACGGGCACACAACCCTGGCCCAGTTTCACATGTCAAGCGCTGCCTCCTCAGCATCCGCGCATCATAGCTCCACCAGCATGTATCCAGCAGGTCTCCAGGTTCATGTACCGCACCACTTTCACGCTTCCAAGGTTGCTAAGCTCTAGTTACGTCACATGCACCACCTGCCATGTGCTCGGTGAAGCGCTGGAACACACCAAAAAGAATTCGACAGCTCTCCTTACTCTCCCCGTGTGTGGCGCTGATTCAGGAGGTCAGCTCCCATGCAACGCAATTGCATTTTTTTTTTCTATTGTATTTTTTTTTTTTTTATATTATATATATATATATATATATATATTATATTTTTAACAATCGGACACTAGATTGTGAGGACCGAGGTCCCAATAATCCCCAGAAAGAATGAAAGAATTCCGGTTTAGTGGATCGGTGCAATGAATGGCCTTACAGAGGCTTTTATGGGCATGTGAAACCATATGCAAATATTCAGGTTGGGATGGGAAGAGATGGTTTTCTTGTTGCCAACGGCGAAGCTATAGCTAGTAGGATTCGTTCATAATGATTTCAACTTGGGAAAGTCCTATGGGATTGAGCTTTGCGATGGTCTTGAAAACTATACAAGTTCTACTCTACTCCCCTGATCTTTCGTTAATGCCAAAACATGCTGTGTATTATTCTAGTAGAACATATATTTCTTTAATGCACTCCATATATATGCTACGAGGACGGAAATGCATAGGTATTGGGGGGGAAAACTCAAAAATAGAAATACATGTGAATGCTAGTTCCAAGGAGGGATCAACCAGGTATGAAAGCCTGTTAGCCCTAGTAGTAGTCGACAAAGAGAAAAGTCCAAAAGCAGGGGAAGAAACTAAGGGGCAACTTGCAACCAGAATATCTGGGGGATGTGGGGAGAGAAGAAACGCCCCCACCGCTTTCTGTGCTTCTCCGTTCTACCATTCTAGTGACCCGGAGAACATAGCAGAATTATTACATAGAAGCGAGGCACCACCCGCTCTCACTTCATGCAATCCCTTACTCCTCCGCGTTATCAGAATAATAGTCGAACTCGTTAGGCACTGGAGCTTCTTCAGCTCCCTCTTCATCCTCATCAACTGCGGTAAGAACACCAGCCGCCGCTGCCGCTCCACCAGATGGGCCAGTGACAACAACAGGTTGCTCCAGCGCGGTCATAGCAGCATTGATTCGATCCTGGATCGTCTCTCCGGCCGCTGTCTGTTTTGTCTCCCTACTAGCCCGGAGCTCGATGATCTCACGTGGCTCTGAGGGCGCCTTATCAAGAACGACAACGACTCCTCCGGTTGGCTAGGTTATTGACACAGAGCATTAGCATAACCACAAACTAAAACGAACGAACAATAAAAAAAAAATAAGGGCCATTTTTACTTACGCGCTTGACGGGCTCATATCGCGGATCGGGGAAGGTTAGGTATTTCAATTGCGCTGGAAGGACTCGAGACATATTCTCCAGCTCATAGCCTACTTTCTCCTTCTCCACTTTTCGCTTTGGCGCTTCAGCTGGGGTTTCCTCCTTCTCGCGATCCTTCCCTTCGTCCTCAGTTTTCACTGCGCTCTCATCGACATCCATCTTGTCGAGATGTTGTGTCGATACCTTAGGAGTCGTAGGGGTTTGGTCGATCTCCATGCTTTCCCGGCGCTGCTGCTTTTCTCTCCGCTGAGCACGTCGTTTAGCCTGAGCTGTGGTTGAAAGAACAGCGGTCTTAACTTTCTCAGGCGCTTCATCCGCTTTAACCTGCTGTTTAGGGGGGTAGTCGAAAAGGCTAGGTCGGGTATTGCTGTGGAACTTAAAGACAGGAACCTCCAGTTTCTGGTCGACTCCGATCACAGCCGTAGGCGTGAAACTCAACGAAAGGAAATGCGAAAGCGGGAACCAATACCAGTACTGTACGAAAACAGCCATTCCAACAATTCCAGGCATATTCAAGTTGCCAGTCTGCGTTTGTAAGCTGATAGTGCAATTACGCCCGCCTGCGTCGATGATTCCCAGGGCAAGCGCACACCCGAATTTAGCCATGGCATCTTCGTGCCTGTCCCCGATCATCTTCTGCATCGTCTTGCGGATGGCGCCAACCTTGGGGTTCATTGCCTCGTTTTGCTGAACAAGCACCATCGCCAAAGAAATCAGTGCGCCCTGTCGCACAAAGTCCGTTGGATCCTTTAACATTGGTTCTAGAAGATCTACGGCTTCGTCCAGCCCGGTTCCAGCGCAGGATATTCCGAGTGCCATAGCAGCGCCGTAACGGACATGCGGGTTGTAGGATTCAGAAAGAAGCTCCACCATGCGAGGAACACTCTGGTGCTTGCGGAAGAGAATGAATCCAAGACTCATCACAGCGACTCTCCGTACGTCATCGCTGACATCACTAACAGCAACATGTAAGAGTCGTCGGACTGCCTTATTGCTACCTGTCCCGCAGTAAGCGAGGGCAATGGCCATAATACCACCGTAGCGTAGCGTAGGATCAGGATCACCCAAGAGGCCATTGATCAATTCATCCGCAGCTTCCTGTCGCCCATACATGATAAGAGCCATTCCCATGGCAACTCCGCGGATGATCTTTTCATGTTGCGTATCATGGGCATATCGGATCATATCTTCCAAGGCCTTCATGTTGCCACTCCCAAGCATAACCAGACCCATCGCAAGACCCACAGCTTCTCCATTAAGAGCGGAATCAGTTTCAAGGACAACTTTGAGGTCATTGTAAATGCCTTCATCACCGGTAGCCATTCCCGCGACGCCAAGACCCAGTGCTCCACCGTGTTGGACTACTTCTTCCGTTGCTTTCGTAAAATGTTCCCGAATCAAATCGACAGCCCAGCCCTCGTGGTTGGCGTAAATTAGGCCAAAGGCATACAATGAACCGCCTTGGCTATACACTGATCCCGCGCCTCCGACTCCTGCAATATTCTCTTTGGGAAGGTATGGTGCTAAGAGTTTCTGTCCCTGTGTAAGGTTTCCTCGATGGATCACACCCAGAGCCGCTGTAGCGGTGAACTTGGACCAGTTAACGGCCTTGCCGAGCCATTCGAGGTTATCACGGAAGAACTTGTCGTGTGTTGTTCCTGCATGCATGAAGGCATTGGCTAGTGTGACGGCATTATGAAAAATGGAGTTACGAGCTTCCAAGCTGTCTTTTATCTTGTTGAGAACAGAAATATCGGCCTTGTTGTTTCGGTATAGGAATTCCAAATTTAGTTGGATCGAATTGACTCCGTCGATGATGTCGCAGATGGACTTGAAGGCCGCCCGCGCGTCCTCGGATAACTTGTCCTTCTCATTTCCGGCGCCTAAGCTCCGACTGTTTGAAGTATCGGGTGCACCCTCTTGATTTTGGAGTAGAGAATCCGTTTCCTTGGCTGCGCTGCCGTCATGTCCCATATTCTGAGATTCTGTCTCGCTCGATTCGGGGATAAGTTGGCTGATTTCTTGTCGGACCTTTCTCAAAAATTCCTGAGTGCTGTTGTCGTACAAGTCGAAGGAAATTTGATAGGCCACAGAAAGAGAACGCGGGTCTCCTTTTTCAACGAGCTGACGCAGTATATCCGAAGCCATTGAGTGTTCATTAAGGTAGACAACACATTTTGCGATGGAAAAATAATCAGGAGAAGGGATTTCGTTTAAGAGCTCGAGAATCAATTTAAGGATCTGTGAAAAATCGTATAGGTTAGCAGAAATAACTCCGGGACCCTTTGAATAGCGTAACAACATACCTCATTTCGAAAGGCCCTTTCTTGAACAACGCTCATACAGATATCCAAAACATATTCCATAAGTTCCTCACCACTCCGAGATGACTCCCCATTTTCCTTTTTCTCATCCTCACTCGCACGCAAGATAGCAGTACGAAGGACGTCGAGATTCTTTGCTTCAACGGCAATTCCAACGACCTGGCGGTAGCGTTTCTCGCGGAAACACTGCTCGAATAACCTTTCAATGACACCATGAAGTTGTTTCTGAACACCGCGCTGGATAACAAGTGGGAGTTCACTGGGATCCGCACCGATATCTTCGCCACCGGTTTCCAGTGAAACTGAGTCTTGCCGTGAAAGGAGTGATTTTGACGGTAGGGCAGACTGGGAGAATGGAGTGATGGGTGAGGTAAGTCCTGCGGAAGTGCTGGTAGCCCCATTTGCGGTTAGAGGGAATGACGTATTCAGACGAGGAACCTTGTTAGCAGCTTGGGCGGAGTTCTGAGGTTTCGGGCTAGCAGATATCGAGATAAACGTATCCACGCATTTCGCTGCAGGAATGATCGTTAGCACAACAATAGTTAAACATACAATAGGAGGGTCAAAAAAATGTAACCTACATATTATGGTCTCCTCAAACTCGCCACCATGGTCCAAATTTAACAGCTTTCCGGCGCCAAGGGCAAACACCATGCTCTCATTGTATTCCTGAAGATGGTAATATACCTTGGAGGCAACCAGAGCCGCCAGCTCACGTTCCGGGAAAGATTCATCTTCGTAGAGTGCCTCTCTGGTAAGATTCATAACCGTTAGCATTCATCTAGGAGGTAGAAGAACCATTCAAGGCTTCGAAATCATGCCTGTTGAACAGCACATATGAAATACGTGGTCTTGAACTTACATTTGGTCAATAGAATCCGCAATTTCAGTCCAGAGCAGGTCAACTTGGGCGTCCAAAGCTTTGAGCGCAAACATCTTCAGCTCAGGATCGGGCTCGGAGAGAAAGCCGACCAAGCCGTCAGCGGAAACAAGCCCAACCATAGTGTCTAGTGATGCTCCGTTTAAAGTATTTTGCCAGAGACGAGGCGCCTTGTTGAGAAATGCGTTGTGAAAGAGAGATCAAATTGGGACAACGACGGCGCCCAGTACTATGAGAGAACAGGTCAAAGGGAGAGACAAGGGTAAGCTGGCGTAAAGAGAAAAGGCAAAGCAAAGAACAAAATGCGGGTCCAGCAACAAAGGTTTGGGAGGAGGTGAGGCTATTTCGTGGTCGTGGGAAGGGAGGTGAAGATAGTGATTTTGGTGATGTTGAGGCGCAAGTCGTCGTCGTCTCGGTCCTACACGTCCTGGAAACGCAGCGAACGAAGTCGGAGCTGACCAATCCGGGTTAGGCTGTCGTGGTTCCCTATAGCTGGAGGGTCACGTGGACAGCTACCTGAGAAAAAGGACTCGTTACGTAAGCTTACAAGCCCCGTCCCTATATAATATTCTTTGTGAACTTCAATTATCCTACAAATATGCTGCAACCGAGCAGAAGAGAGGGTCTGAGTCTGCTGGGATAAAATGGTTAACTAAACTCTCCATCCTTAGCTATTCCAACTCTCTTGGTCGAGATTTCTTTGAAGGGGAAACGCGGCGAGATGAACAGGCTTCCCCGCACTTAAAAAACAGGATACCATACCCCCGCCGCCAGTCGAACAATTATTAATAATAATACGAGCCGTGTCAGCTCCAAGGGCGTGAAAAGCTGGTCTTATCCTGCAACTACTCGCCGCTGGGTACTGTACCATAGACAAATCCCGGAACTGCCCAGTCCTTTTGATTCTGATGTGTAAATATATCACAGGCAGCCTTTCCGTCGCTCCCCTTTTTGAAGCGGAAGCAGAATTTAAGTTATTAATAAATATCTCAGAACATCCGTTTCATCATTTTCCAGAAAAACAAGAGCAGTCTCATTTTCTTCACAACTGTCTTCCCTACGCCTTCAAACTGTAAACGAATCTATCTATCCTTCCTCATTGAACAGCAGCAATGGCTGCCTCTTCTCCAGATGGCAGGGCTCTTCGGCTCCGCAAACTCCATGTCCCTGGTACGCCTCTTGTTCTTGCAAATATTCATGATGCGCCAACCGCAGAATTCGTTGCCTCGAACCCTTCATGTCCTGCTCTAGCAACGGCGAGCTATTCCGTCGCGAAGGTTCATGGCCTCGAAGATGATGCGTTAGATCTGGACACGAATTTAGCTGCTGTTAGGCGGATTATCCCTGCTGCGCTCCGGCACAACAAACCCATCACCATTGACCTACAGGATGGTTATGGAGAACGGCTAGAGGAGGCCATTGAGGCCATCATCGAGGCCGGTGCGTCCGGATGTAATCTCGAAGATCATGATAACGAAACAGGCCAGCTCTTCACGTTTGACGTAGCCCTGGATCGTGTCCGTCGAGTGCTTTCCGCAGCAGCTAGAGCGGGTGTTCCAAATTTCGCGCTGAATGCGCGCACTGATGCCATCCTCTTGAACAATGATGTCGATGAAGCAATTCGGCGGGGCAAGGCGTTCCTGGATGCTGGCGCCACAACAGTATTCGTCTGGGGAGGCCAGAAGCGTGGTGGCCTCACCAAGGATGAGGTGGTCCGGATTTCAAAGGAGCTGGGCGGGCGGATTAATGTCATTGCTTGGCCGCGTGGGTTAAGCGTGCAGGAGTTGGCGGATATTGGTGTGGCAAGGATTAGTGTTGGCCCACGGTTATGGAGAAGTGCAAATGCGGGATTTGAAAAGGCGGCTGCGGACTTGCTTGGTGAATATGAGGCCATGAAATCGACGCGGAAGTAGGAGGATGAAGTCATTTTTTAAAGGCTTTTTTATGATTATATGTATGGCATTTTTGAGGCGTAGCGATTGTGACATCCAGGGGAATGTTCGTTAGAAATCCTACGCTATGAATTAATGTTGCCTAGGTTTCGTATCATTAAAGGATGCCTTGTGTTTTTGGCATTTCCCACTACACGTACTCCGTACATACATACAAATACACACGACTCTTATTCCTTACCACCAGGCACACAGCACGCAACCCAAGAAGGGGGAACGTATTTCTCTCGACATATCACGCTAATCGGCTACCATAACCCGTAGTGATGGTGGCCGGTATTACATGAAATGTGATAGGTATGAGTTGCAGTACACGATACGCAGCGCCTATGTGCCAGACGGGATGCCGAATTTGAACGTGGTGTCAAAATAGTTTCTCGAAAATTTACACCATGATGGACTTCGGCGGAATGACCATGGCCAAACTATGACCATGGAAAGAATCTTAACATTAAAGATATGTTCCTTAAACACGTTCAATTGCGCTCGATTGACCATTCCGCTTTTTATCCGGCAGTTCTCGTGAAAGGCTGTTGATTTCCTGTGTCTGGGTGCCCTGTCGCGCCCACTCAGGCTGGGCAGCTGAGGACTGCGCTCCATCTTCCTGCGTCCACGGATCGCTCCGAACTATAGTCTCTTGCACAACGGTTATTTCCTTCTGAGGCGCATTCGTCCCTGTGCTAAGAATGTACTCGTCGCTACCCCAGGCATTGGTGCCGGGAATGGAAAGTGGATGGTGGACTTTTTTGCGCCCTTCCCGTGCGGAGCTTTGTTTTGTTCTGCTACTCGTATGCCCATAGGGTTGTGATGGCCGATTAGCGGACGTGAGTAGGAAACTGAGTTTCGTGCCGCGGATGAGCATGAGCATCAGCGGGTGGATGATTGGGAGGTTGGAAACGACGATTGCGACGAATGTTTCTCGGCATGCCCATCTACTGCCCGAGACAGCGCCTTCAGGGCCAGACTAAAAGGTGTAAAAAAAGGGGGGGAGGTTAGGTCGTGGATCTACTTTATGATGGCGGCTAGTCTGAAATCTCTCCTTTCTCCTTGGTTTCCTTTCCCTTGTTTCCCCCCTTTTTCTGTGGCTATGTAGTGGACTTACAGAAAGAATCGTTACAGCCCGGATAACAGCTGCTACCATAATGAAACACGCTCCGCTGAACAGTCCCATCAATGTGATCTTTTTGCGCAAGCTGATGTTTACCTTCCATAGTAACTGTTGCGGAAAATAGTTAGAGAAGCAGGATTGATTTATTTTCCGCTGCGAGAGGTGGACTCACTGGAAGTGGAATGGAAAGTAGGTAAAAATCAGTAAGGACATTCGGAATGACGACAATGAGCACTGCAATTTTGGATATCGTTGGTTGGCAAATGTCTGTCATATCTCAAGTTAGTAAATTATTGGTCCCAAGGCCTCGTCGAAACGCTGAAAAACTCACTGCCGGGATCAGGGCTAATCTGCCAATATCTCTCAATTGGCCGGCATGGGAGGACAAGACATAAAGCGACCATAATGTACGTCGCCCCCAGGATAACATACGAGAGGCGCACCCGGTTGGGCAGGTCCATTAATCCACTCCTAAAAATGGGCATTGCATTGTTAGTATCACCATCGCCATCATGGTTTGACCTCTATTCATCCGCCCTAGATTCAATAATGAAAAGATCACGTACGTCAACCTGGAATAGAATATTGCAACACAGAATTTCACCAGCCACAGAATGAGGGCATAAAAGGACCAGCCTATAACTTGGATTTTAGACCCTGCGACTCTTTTCGCAAATTCAGCCGAATTAGGATCAAGAGCCGCCCGCTCCTCGGGAGTCATATAGCTGTTCGTGAGGCCATCGTATGATGCAACGACGATATGCGCAGCGACTGTTTCCAGCGTAAAAACAATCTAGCATTGAGAGACAAATAGTCAGCTCTGTCACTCCAATCATATTTCCACTTCCCATTGGTTTGGGTTTTGTGCTCAAGTTTGATCATCAAAAAAGATGGATAATAACTCACTCCGGCTAACGGCATCAGATAATCATCGAGCTGGAAATTCGAAGGTCCGACAATGGTCCATCGTGCGTACATACGCACAAGAATAACTACGATGCCGAGTGCAAGGAGAGTGAAACCTTCAACGTCCGCGGTCATTTTCGATTTTGCAGTTGGCAGCTCCAACGAAACGGGTCTCAGGCAAAAGCGAAATAGAGAACACTCGCTGACTTAAATGTGCCGATGAAAGCTCTGCTCATGGCGCATGGCATCGAGTTTTTTGAGAGTAAGAAGAAAGTTCGCTAATCTCTCCCCTCTTCTGGTGCTCGTAAAGTAAAGTTTTGATAAATCATCATGCTAAATTGGTGTCTGGGGTAAGGTCTTAGAGAGGCAAAGCGCAATACTTGCTTCATGTGTATACTTCCTGATCAACAAGGGGGGTTAACGATTTCTGGGTCTGATCAGCATTCGCCATGCCTACACAACGGATTTGAAACAAATCGCGGAAGGCTCCTTTTCAAACTAACGTTAATAATAAGCCCCTTTGATGGCGCGGCGCAAATTCTGAGAGCCCCAGCCAGCAATTCTTCACAGAATCCATCCAACTTGGGGCGTGTTCGCTTGCGCGTTTAACTTCGTGTATAAAAGACCCACTTACACGATCTTACACACCCTATTCAACATTGTATGCACAAAAAAGGCCTTGCATTCAGTCTGCCATTCCTCATAACCCTTTTTTGTCTCCACTTACACAGTATTAAACTTTAACAGTGTAATTAGACTGTATAGTGGGGGTTGTAACTGTCATAGGCCAGGTTGGGGAGTGTGTAAAGTTGTATATGCGCCCACATTGTTGATTATAATAATATGACTCCTGCCTCCTGCAGTATCACAGTTGATGTGGTTGGGGCAAAATAATGATGACTGGTTGCTGTAAGGAATAAACTGGTGTGCCTCAACCTAGAAACTGTTGACCTTCTCAAGATCATCAGGCTGGCCTTTGGACAAGGAGAGGTTGAATGATTTCTTCCGCCTCACAAGAAACGGGGGTGGAATGATTTGTCAGAGCAAGGTGCCCTGCCTTGCATACGCTGCAGTATAGACCGGGCATTCGTCAATTGCTCCCAATTGGCGTCTCTTTGCCCGTCTCGGCGTCTTAAAGGTGGCTGTGGTGGCTTGTGATAATGTAGTGATGGTGCATGCAATCATTCTAAGAAGCGCCGGAGTGGACAATTAGGGTTAGGGCTAGCTATAGCCTACCCCTACTCTCCACCGGGCTAGTATCCTCCATATTCGGTACAGACTCCATACACAATAATACGGACGTAGGAGCCCGAGGTGCAAATCCCAGCCACTATGCGATGATCTCTGTCGATGGATCCATCTATGTATTTACGAGGGTGAAGGATTATTGAGTTGTTCGAATAATAATAAACTGGCGGTGCAATAAATGCGATGTTTTGATCTTCTCATGGACGATTACTTTCTCCTATTCAAGCAGGGTGAGGAGAATGAGGGACTCCTCAGAACAAGTGATGCCACTCTGAAATGCCGTTCCTCAGGAAATCATAATAAGCGGAATCCCCCCTCGCATTCCGCCAACTCAATACCCACCCACAGGGGCCAGAACATCCCGTTTCCCCACATGAAATCTCAGTGCAGAGAACTAACTACTCAAGTCACTGCACCTAGAGGCTAGAGGACGCCATACTTCAGGCGGCGGGGTGAGCAGCAGTTGGTTATCAGTAGTGGCCAAACTTGCAGAGTCAAACATTCTTTATTACTATTACCCCGTCTGACGAGTAGAAGAGAAGATCAACAAAAAGAAAAGAAAACAGAAAAGAAAAGCGAAGCTGGGTGGCAGAAATTGAAATCATGGCATCCGTTTTTGACTTCATCGTCGTTGGCAGTAAGGTTACCAATCCAACCCTCTGGCTGCAGTTTGACCTAAAATCGAAGCACAATAGGTGGCCCTGCTGGCAGCGCTGTTGCTTCAGGACTTGCGGGCGCGCCTGCGAATCCCAAAGTCCTCCTGCTCGAAGCCGGCGAAGATATCGAGGATAGGAATCTGCGCGTCGACGGCCAGCGATGGTTGACCTTTCAGAACAAAAATATGAATTGGGGCTATAAGACTGTGCCTCAAGAATACTGTAACAACCGTGAACTCGATTACTCTCGTGGACGCGGGGTCGGCGGCTCCAGCACCATCAACTTCGGTGTGTACAGCGTTGGTGCCCGTGATGACTACAATGAGTGGGCAAGGATTGTAGGCGACGATTCCTTTAACTGGGAACACATACAGTCCCGTTTTAAGAAGCTAGAGACTTTCCACAGCGAGATTCCAGCCGGTATTGACAGCAAGTATGCTTCTCCCAACGCCGCTGACCATGGCACATCGGGTCCCCTCCACGTCGGGTTTGCTGCGGAATGGGAGAGAGATATCGTGCCCACTCTTGATATTTTTGAGCAGGCCGGATTTCCATTAAACCCAGACCACAACTCTGGTAACCCAATTGGGATGTCTGTGCTGATCAATTCGGCACATAAGGGTCTGCGATCCACCGCGAAGGATTTATTGTTACGACCGTCGGCAGTGAACCTAACAATTATCGCTAACTCACCCGTTCAACATGTCATTTTAGAGGGTAAAAAGGCTGTAGGTGTAGTGGCAAATGGCACCCGATGTAAGAAATGTTTAGTCCCCGAATAAGACACGAGCCCGCTCACTAACGGCTTATTTTAGATCTGGCGTCTAAGGAAGTCATTCTCTCGGCGGGCGCGCTAGACACGCCAAAGATTCTGATGCATTCAGGCATTGGCCCGAAGGAGCAGTTGGAAAAGTTCAACATTCCCGTCGTGCTTGATGCCCTTGCCGTCGGCCAAGGTCTTCGAGACCACTACTTCGTTCCACTCATTAACACCGTTGCGGGCACCAACAATGATCGTCGCGCTTTCTACGGTGATAAGAAAGTCATGGACGACGCCCTAGAGCAATGGAAGCGCGACGGCACAGGCCCATGGTCAAAGTTTGCCTGTGAATGTGGTGTGGGTTGGTTCAAAATCGACGGTCTCACGCAAACTAAGGAGTTCCAAGACCTCCCGACTACCGAGAAGGAATATCTTCAAAAGGAAACCGTCCCGCATTACGAAATCTTAACTCATTTCCCCATCCATTGGTTCGTCCCGGATTTCCCAGACTCGGCTCTCGACTATACATGTCTGCTTGTTTTCCTTTACAACGCCCAGGCCCGTGGCGAGGTTACATTGCAGTCTTCGGATCCGAATGAGCCTCTGCGCATGGACCCTAAATTTCTCTCCCATCCGTTCGATCGGCGTGCCGCCATTGATTCGCTCCGTGACGCACTCCGTGTTGCAGAGCATCCCGCTTATATTAAAGACAAGTTGGCCGAGTTAGCAGCGCCCAAGTCTGACTCTGACGAGGATCTGCTGGAATACTGGAAGCAGAACATCTCGTCTAGCTGGCATATGAAATGTACCGTGAAGATGGGCAAGGCTGGGGATGCTGATGCCGTTGTCGATTGCAATTATCGTCTGATGGGCATCGACGGTCTTCGCGTGGCGGATATGAGTGTTATCCCTGTGCTGGTGAGCGGGCATATTCAAGCCGCAGCATACGTGACTGGAGCTACTTGCGCGGAAAAGCTTATCAAGGAATATAATCTTGCATGAGAACCCATTGAGAACCATATGTATGTACCGGAAGGAGGTGAGCACCACCTTTTGTCCCTGTGGGTAGAGGGCTTGGTATCCAGGATATTCTTTGTACACAGGATCGAATCCAATGTACATTTTCTTTGAGCTGGAGTCCTAGATAAGTTTGCTGTTCACACTTCCATCATCGACGGCAATATACATTTTATATATAAAATGAATGACGGGAGCCGTAGAGCCTGTGAATAGCGCTATAAAACCCGTTACGAACGAATTGAAACAAAAACAATTTGATCAAGCCCTAGAGAAGTGGATGTGGCTCGGATGAAAAAACAAAACTATAATCATTTTTCAGTGCTCTCGCCTTCTGCACGCTCCGCTCCCTTTGTGTATATGGCGGCTACCTCGAACCTTTCAAATAATGATAATTTCAAGTGAGGTGATGACGTGCATCCATGTATACGGATTAGATGCACCGGACTAGGTTCTTAGAAGCCTTTCCCTCCCTTGCTCCAACCAATTTATTTTCATTATTCCCCCAAAATAATCTGCTTCAGAACCTCCCGTTCTCCACTTTCCTCCACCAATCCCCTAAACACTCCATTATCAATCTGCATCAAATCTTTGGGCGCCCCAAATTCCACCGCCTTGCCGGCATCCATGACCAAGATGCGGTCAAAATCGGCAATAGTACTCAGTCGATGTGCGATGACAAGCAATGTTGTTGAGTTGCGTCCAAACTCAGAACGGATGGAACGCTGGATTAATGTGTCAGTGGCCATATCAACAGCCGATGTTGCTTCGTCGAGGACCATGATTTTCGGTTGCGAAACAATGGCACGGGCTAGGCAGAGCAGTTGTCTCTGGCCTTGAGAAAGATTTAGCCCACCTTCGGAAATGGTGGAGTCTAAATTTCTGAAAATGTTCGCGTTAGCGTTGGCCGCAGCAGTAGAGCAGGATTCTCCACTGATCAGTGTTGGAGTAGTCGACCCTGTGCTTGTTTGGGGAGGTGAGGAGGATGAGCAGGGCTGGGTAGACGTGGCGCTTTCGACGAGCGAGCTGGGAACAAGGTGCACACGTTCTAAAGCGTCGCGTAACTGCGTGTCGCTGAATTCTTCAAACGGATCTAGGTTTGACCTTATGGTTCCGGAAAACAGAACAGGGTCCTGAGGTATGATGGCAAGGCGGCTTCTGAGATCATGGAGCTTGATCTTGGATACATCAATACCATCAACGTGAATAGTCCCCCCGCGAGCTTCCAGGAAACGGAAAAGTGCTAGAGTTAATGATGACTTCCCTGCCCCGGTACGGCCAACAACACCAACGCGCTGGTTTTTTTCTACCTTGAATGACAAACCCTTGAGGACTGGAGGCAAGTCGGGGGCATAGGCAACCACGAGATCTGACACTTCAAGTCGACCAGCGGTAGGCCAGCCAGCAGGTGCACTAAACCCGTCTTGAGGTTCGATATCGATCTCGGAATATTCAATCACCCTTTCCGTAGCGTTCATGTTCAGTTCTATGTTCGTATATTCACGCAACGCATATGCGATCGCATTAGTATATTGCATGGCAAAACTGAGGGCAAAGCCAGCCAGAGAGGCATCGATGCCTTTCATGGATACCACCAGCGCTGCAGTAATAACAGCAAAAATGGACCCAATAGTACTCATGCGGAAACCAAGCCATCTGTTGAAGAGCCATAAGTGCCAGTAGGCTTGAGCGTGACGATCAATCTTCGTGAACATTCGATTAATGTACGTTGGAACTTTTCCAAAGGCACGGATAGTTGTCAATCCGGTCAGGGCAGTTCCGAATTGTTCGTATACTGGGCTCTTTACTGTGCTCTCCAAGCGTTTGATCTCCCGAGCGCCATCGAGGTAGTAGAGTGAATAATACAAACTGATCGCAAGAAGAACCATGGCGAACAATATAAGAATAGGCGAGACGAGTAATCCGGCTGCCATAATTCCAAGTACTTGAAGGACGTGGTAAAGCATTGAACCAAAATCACTACCTAGCCGAGAATCGATCATGTTGAAATCCGCTGTGAAACGATTTAGGATCCGTCCAACAGGTATCGTGTCAAGCCAACGAAGTGGTGCTCTCAACACGGCATAGGTAAGCCGATCAAATAGGTTACGAGAGGCGTTAATAGAGGCATTGAAGAAAAGGCCGTATCTCAACGGGCCTAGAACACATGTTACAAGGGATAGCCCAACATATATCCCCAAATAATACAAAAGGGAAGCATTTGGCGATGCCGGTTCGCTCCTCTTCACGATATGCGTCATTACAGAGAGGTTTCCTTCCGTTGTGGAAGCGCTTGACGATCGAGTCCAAATGCTTATCCACCATGACTAGGAATAAGTTAGCAAAAGATACGTAAATTTCAAGGAATCAAATAAGTAGAGACTGCGACATACACGTCCAACTGTCATTATAATGTAAGCCAAAAATGCGAATGCAACGAAAAGCCAATACCATATGTTCCCTCCACTCTGAAAGTAGGTTTTATAATGAGCCATTTTAACGGAGCCGGTTTCACGCCATTCGTCTTGCTGGAACTTAGCCGGGACCTTATTGCTTTTAACAGCAGCGTCACTTGTCACTGCGTTGGTGTGTGCCTCCGATCCACGGGATAAAACTTTGTGTAGGCCATCTTCCCCTTCACCAAGTCCGTCTATATTTTCCTCAACTTCATCACTTTGTCTTGCTGCCTCATTAGCCTTGTCAGCTAGAATTTCTGTTAGCTCTCCAGTTCTCCTCAGCTCGTCCACAGTACCCGCGTGTCCAACGGTGTCATTTTGAAGATATACAGAGTAATCCGTTTCGCCAAGGCACAGTGCCACATGATGGGTAACGAGTATACGCGTCCTTCCTCGGCCAAGTTCTCCTGTTAGGGCATGTACATGGAGATGCCGGCCTGTGTGGGCATCCAACGCACTAAACAAGTCATCCATGATAAGAATACCGGCGCGAGAATAAAGGGCGCGTGCAAATGATATCCGCCATTTCTGGCCTCCACTGAGATTTATCCCATTGGCGCCAATGTCAGTGAGTTCCCCATCAGGTAACATATCAAGATCTTTCTCCAAAGCGCACGCGAATAAAACTTTATGATATCGCTCTGAGTCAAGCGGAAGTCCAAAAAGAATATTATCCTTAATTGTCGCATTTTCGATCCACGGTATTTGAGCCACGTAGGCAATTGCTGAGTCGATAATCCAGTTCTCTTTGTTCGCGTTGTCGTTAAATCTATCTTCAAGGGGCGGAGCTTCTGGGACGCGAACGGCGCCACTCAGTATGTCAGATTCGCCCAGGATAGACGCGATGAGCAAGCTTTTACCAGAGCCCGTTTTACCAGAAATAACACTGAGGCCTTTGGGTGGGAAGCTTAAGCTGATATCTTGGAGGCTGAATCTGCCATCGGTTTCGTCGGCATCTTCTACCGGCCAAGCAATGGTGGCCTTCTCAAAGCAAATATGATCGGAGGGAAGTGTATTGTGGCCTTTCTCAGCAGAGGTCAAGAATTTTTCAATTCTTCCAGCGCTCACCCAAGCCTCGATGAAATCCGTTATTAGCTCAGGGAGTATGGCAAGCGTCAGCTCCAGGGACGAGAAGATGGACACGGTGGTGAAGGCAACCGATGCGGCTAATTCGCCATTTAACTTATAATAAACTCCTAGGGAAACGGCGGAAAGCATCACTGGACCCATGATCCAAATACCGATGAGGACGATGTCATAGCGAAACACCGCCCACTGTGCATTTAGTTCTGCCTTCCGTATATCTCCAATTTTACGTTGCCATTGGTTCTCAAGTGCCGAGAACTTAATTTGACGGATTCCCTGGAGAACTTCGGTTATGACGACCATTTTTTGGTCACGGAATTTCATCAAAGAAATTTGGCTACCTGAATATTTGCTTGCGACGAAAATGTTGACTGGAGTCACCACAACAGAGACCAGAAGCCCTGAGCAAAGACTTTTCCAACCTATCAGCAGCCCCAAAATTGTAAAGGCGACGGTAAGTTTAATAGTGGTCGAGGGAATGAAATAATTGTAAGCGGCAAAATCGGAAATTCGTTTTGCGTCAACAGCAACAAGGTTGATAGTGCCTTGGTTAGTCTTCTGGTTATCATCTTCAGCATCAGCGTCATCTTTCAATGTCTGATTGCCGTTTTGGTTTGAGCCCTGATCGTCCGGGCTGCTCGAGGCTTGTGAGCCTTTCACGTTCTTCCGACGCATAGATTTCGTAAATACTACAGCGGCTACTTGTTCATAGACAGGGATGCACAGCTTCGCGAACGAGACCCAATAAAGCCAGGACTCAATTGTGGAAAAAACCAATGTCGACATCCCTAGCGCAAAAACCAACCACCAAGCTTCGGACGAATTCCACTCGCCACGACTACGTGCCTCTAGCGCACGAAGAATTTGAAGTAGGCAAATCTGGGGGGCAAAGCTCAGGAGAGCGGATATAACGACCAACACAAATTGTACAAGCAGAGGTGAAAGATAAACGCGTATCAACACCTTCCAGAGACGGGGGGACTTGTTCTTTGTCTTATCAAACGCTTCGAGAAGAGATTTGGCGCGAGTTGGATAATCTAGCTGAGGAAGATATTCAACATCTAGTGTTTTAGTTCGCCGTATCTCTTTGAGCAATCCACTTGGCCAGCTAAAAGTTAAACGGCCAATCCAAGATGTTGTATACTGGGCATCCACAACTTTTCCATTTCTGAAAACATCTGGCCGACGGGGGAGAAGGACGGAGACGCAAGCACAGATGAAGGCAATCACAAGCTGCACCAATACCAGAGCGCCGCGGGCGTCGCTCAGATCGAGAGAATTGGAGTTGGGATAAATAAAAAAGGTCTGTATAGTGATAAGTACTATATAGAGGAGGGTTGACGTCGATATATAGAGCCCGATAGTAAACTTTTTGGTTGGAGATGGCTCAACAAGAAGTGCAATGGAATTCAGTACGACCAAAACCTAGAACACCAAGTCAGTGTGGGACGTGTCGAAGAATGACTGGAAAATATAAGGCATTCATACCCATATAGAAAGCTGAAGCCATGGCTCAATCGTGCGTAAACGGTCCTCCGAAATAGTTGACAAGACAGCCTGTGCCAAAGATACTAGGAGGCCAATAATCGAAAAACATATGATCGACACATAGTACGCTTTCTGTGAAAATCTTTGGATGGACTCTTCCGTAGCAGCTCCATCTCGATCCTGATATATTTCCTGGAGAGCGATATATCCGACTCGACTTCGAAGAGATAACCGGGATAATATTGCCAACAGGCCAGAAATTGTACAGAGAGCAACGACAATAAGGCCAGAAGTTCCTATAAGAAGAGAAGCAGTGTGCTCCTCGATCATGATGGCCAGTATGATTTATTAAGGAAGCCGGCCCTTTTCTTTCACCGATGCCCCTTTCTCAGTCAATTTACTCTCCTATAATACCACTATGGTTTAACGAAAGCCGTAATCAAAATTTACACAATCAAACAGATGGAAAGAGCATTGGGCCGGCGTGCCTCGAATATTCGTCGAGAAAATTCTGGCAGCAATTAAAAAAAAAAAAAAAAAAAAAAAAAAAAAAAAAAAAAAAAAAAGAAAGAGATGTTATGTGAATGTACCTGCAGATGCGAGAAGTTTTTATAGCAACCAGCAGCGAGCGTCGCAGGCAAAGTGGAGCCTTACAACTAGTTATGGGGTTCTGCGTGCCAGGAGAATGGCAGTGGTGGGGGCTCGAGAATTTTGCCGGGGGGATGGGATGGAGAAGCCGACAGCAAGGCTAACTAAGTAAGATATGTACGGACATATACTGTACAAAATCAGTACCGAGTGGCGCCGGTTACTGGCAATACCTCGTTGAAAGAGAGAAAAGAAACATAGGTGAACGAGAGCTACCCGTTGAACAGAAATTAAACCGAGTCACTGGTTCCTCTTTCATGAATGTATTTTTCACTCCTTGAAGTGTTGGCGATGGGTAGTTATAATCCATTATTCGTAGGGGGGTGAAGTTTCCCAACCTTGTGTGGGTCACTTGGAGGCCCTAACATCGGTCCCTTTAACTAACTTAGCTTAACCAGGCATGGCTATTCCCGGAACTGGCGCTGCACCACACCACCCGCACACGAGCTCGTGTTTATCCAACATCTTGGAGGCGACCCCGGACGGGCCGATAGCAGCTGATTGATCGTTGCCCAGTAAATTTGTCCGCTTTCGCTGTCGCGATTTGAAAAATGGTGGTTTTGTTTCCCACAGACGCCGCGATTTTTCGGGTTGCCAGGATAATTGCGGATTCCTTGCCAACAGTTGTTATTCGGACGGCGTAGACCGGACCGAACCGTCTTTTCTCAGGCTTGAATCACTGTGATCTCTTCACCCATACTGAAGTCAGGGGTTAGTAGCTTGTGTTGGAACATCTTCCAGACTTTGCCAATCTTATGCTTCACTCTAACCAGGCGGAGAATTTGCAGCTATGACTCACTTCTGAGGGAAGGGCGCTAAGCTAATGCCGATGGCTGCTGCTAAGCTTCTGAGCGACTTTGCGCTCGATTGGAAATACTACTAACTCGGCAAAGTCAATTCAGACACTTTCAACACACACACACACACCATGAAGAAAATTTACCGTGCGTAAGCTACGAGAAGATTAAAAGGTTGCATCTTTCTAAATACCTGATGTAGTTCCTCCGTATTTGTGCGATTTCCAACCTCTTCTCATCTTGGATTTCAATTCCAGAAAGAATTTTGCCCGCAACGAGCGGGGTCAAAAACCAGTCAGTCTGAATGGGATGGATGGTTCGCGTTGCGAGAGCAGGGATGCAGGTCGTATTTTTGTGATTCGGAATATCTGCAGCCCCCAATGGACATTCAATGACCCCCAACCCTGAGCAACACGCTTTCCCCATCTCGGTTCCCCGAAAATTCGCACCAGAGGCCTGAATCCCAACATGTTTCGGAGAACCACAGACAAGACAGATGGTCGGGCGCTGCCTCGAGCTTGAAGGAAAAGTCTTTTCAAGAGGTTCTCTCTCGTCTCCTCATCTTAGGTGATGAGATTATGAGGATAAGCCGATGGCGTGATTGAACGCAAGGGGACGACGGGACATGAGGGACATGGGGGATATGGCCAGAGCGTATCGAAAACATTCCCGAGGAGAACTAATTCCCATATCCAAAAAGAAAATATATGGGCTATGATGATGATCTGCGCAAGATTTTGGACGGGAAGCTTATTAAGCACCCGTAAAACAGTGGAGATCTTGTACAAAAAAGAACGAGTAACTACAAGTACACACGGCCGCACTCAACAGGCCCTAAGGATCTTCATTAGTTATCGCGGGAGTCCGACCCTTCTTTTGCAAATATGCCGCCAGATCAGAGCTGATGTCTTCGTCAGTAGTTACGGGTTTGATTAACTAGTTAACTACCCCTAACTTACTATTTCAAGTTCATGTTAGAGTCTCGCAATCTCCAATCTCATACGCGTTTCCTCGCTCGCGCGATCATTTTTAATCTTAGTTATCTGACATCTTGGTACCGATCGTATCGTCAGGTTTGAATGCCGCAAACGATTTCGATTTCAACTTTCGATTTGGTCGCGGGTGTTCGCAACCTTGCTTCCTTGCACTTCTGGAAATCGGGTGCTTTGCCCGATCGCAAATTGACCAGGAGGTTTAAATAGTAAGACGTCTAAGCACATAATAAGACGCGGCGACGCAATTGGCACGTTAATCAGCGGTTAAAAGGGCTTCATAACCTGTAGGAGTAGAAAGATCAACGCTACTGGCATTGTTCACTTACCTAGCTAGCAAGGTGCTCGCTCTATTGCGTCTCCGTTGTGTTGTCCTTACAGGCGCAAACACAAACTAGAAATGGGATTGAAGCTCGATCATGGAATAATATTAAAGAAGATAACGGTGAAATAAATATAGCATTCATATTTATAGTCAATGCCTCCTACGATTGATTGAAGTCTTTGAAGTCTGAGTTCTTATGTTTTAAGTCCTGATTCTGTACACTCTGGAGACCAAATCATAGAGAACAGAGCGTTTAGCTTGTCTCGGTTGACTTCTTTTAACTAACGCCCGCCTGTAAGGTTCCCGTTCGAATTATTTTGCCACAGCTGAAGATGAGAGAGAGCAATGAGATAGAGCTTCCCCTAGGAGGAACTTCTTCTCAGTTATTCTACTACGCCGAGTAGGTAATCTGGTATATGACTGATCGAGATGTGATCCAGCTCATGTCCTGCGTCTGCTTGTCCAAGGTTTTGCCTCTCACGACTCAGCCAGCGCTGGTGGACTTTGGAAGAATTGTTCGTGTCCCATGGCTCAATTTCTACCGCAGCGGAGTTTATTGCCAACAACCATGACTTGCTTCATTATTATTATTTATTCGAAACAAACGGCATTATATTAAATAGATTCACGAGGTGGCAAGCCTATGACGATATAATCGATTTGCATTAATGCAGACTTCTAGCCTAGCCTACGAGCCATAGCTGCACAAGATCCACTAAAGCCCGAGCGAATGAATGCCCGAGAGTGATCCCCGACGCGTTGCCTGCAATATATATATATATATATATATATATATATGTGCCAGGAGTTTCCCCCGCAACCAACCAACACATTTCATTGAAGAAATGACGGCCAATTTTTGAGCTCATCATCGATTGATATAATAAGACCAAAGGGCAAAGATGTTCACCCCCGTCGATACCGCTCTTGGAGCTGTCCTTCTCCACCAAGGATCTTCAGGATTGCTACAGCATAATGGCCGGATTTTTGGCATTTCGTCTCTCCTCTCAGGGTCCGTTGTGAAACCCAGCCGTGATAATCTGCCGATCATAGGAGGGTTGGTGTCGAGCATCATCCCAATTTATTACTTCGCGCCCTCTATACTCCCAGCATATCCCCCTCTAGGAGCTACATGGGAAGCTGCTCTGGCCACTCTCACAACGGGCTTCGCAGTAGGGTGGGGCACAAAGGTATGTAACCTACACGACTTGTGCTAAGCCCAAATATATATATATATATATATATATATATATAAATTAAAAAAAATAACATACTTTTTTCACTGCAACACCGGCAGAGAAAATATGAAATGAATGCAACGGGGATGCCCAAAAGGAAGTAGGTAGCAGTGGATCTATCTTATACTAACACCGAAAATTCGACAGAATGAAAGCGGATGCACCTCCGGCCACATGCTCTGCGGTCTATCCAGGCTCTCTCCCCGGTCCGCAATCGCAACCAGCGTATTCTTCATCACCGCCCTGATCACCTCAAACCTTCGAAATACCATCCCCGCCTGCCCGGGTGGCCAGCCATGTTATTTGCCCTCGTACCCAACACCCGAGCGGACTGCATTCATGCTTGGAGCAGTCCTGCTTGCCCAGTTTACGAACTCCATCATCGTCCCTCGTCTGCCAAAATCCAAAAACTCCACGACCATGTACAACTACATCGCCGGCCTCCAATTCGGCCTAGGTCTCCTCATCAGCGGCATGGCTAATCCAGCAAAAGTCCTCGGCTTCTTCAGCTGGTTTGACTGGTCTAAGTTCGACCCGTCCCTGTGTCTGGTCATGTTGTTCGCCGTGGTGCCCAACCTCATCTCGTACATGAAGCTAAGAACCGAGTATGGAGATGAAAAGGGGAAGAAGCCACCGACGCTGGCGGAGAAGTTTCAACTACCCACGGCGACGCTGGCGGATATTGACTGGCGATTTATTGCAGGCGGCATCGCATTCGGGGTTGGGTGGGGGTTGAATGGTGTATGCCCTGGACCCGGTTTGCTCAGGACCGTGCTGCAGCCTAAATGGGGCCTGTTCTGGATGGGAGGATATATGCTGGGCGCGCTGTCGGGCTTGTAAATTACTGTTCTATGTTCCTGAGGGAGGACCACAGATAGCTGACCAATCAGAGCTTGTTTTTCTCGTTGCATATAAATATCGCAAGTTTGCGACCCATTTTATTTGCTTCCTTCGGCAAAGGGGCTGTGACTTGGAAGTTAAGGTAGTCCAAAATTAAAATATTATTTCCTAGCGTGGGTGCATGCAAGCAGTAACTAAAACTCAATTGAACATGTTAATCTGGGCGGCTTTAAGTATTGCTTCCCAGAGATGTCTTGAGAGTTGAACTTTTCAAATCAATTTCTCACATTACATAAATTCGACGATGAGGAATTAAGAATGCAGAACACCTAATATGATGATGTAGCGGATTTCAGGTCATACAATTTTAAGAATCGATACTTCAAAAGTCGAAATCCGCCCATACAATCTCTATCAAAAGGAAATAGGATTCCTGTGTCATGCCTAGTCTAGAATAAAAAGTATGGGTGAAATGTGAATAATGAATATAGGTAATAGTGCAGCTCGGTTTGCAAAAAATCAACGAACGTAAAACGTATGGCCAACCGCAGATGTGGCAGCGTTTGCACGCCGCCGGGGGTATAAAAATTTGCTTCTTAAAAGAGAAATAGCAAATCTCATGTCCTAAGAAGGACTATTAGAGAAGGACTATTAGCTTATGTTTCCTGACATAGCAAGAAAATCGAATGAAGGAATCTGCACCTGCACGCAAAAATTTGTACAGGGAATTCTAGATGATGAGTATATCCAAACATGTAATGGGTAGAGAATATAATAAACGCTCAAAAATGCCCCAATATAATACACATTCCAGTTCAGGGAAATGGATTAACAAGAGCAAAAAAAAAAAAAAAAAAAAAAAAAAAAAAAAAAGGTTCGAGTACGGAAATATCTTAAAGCTCTGTTTTTCTGCTTTCATTCTCGGGTACTGACCCTTCGTGTTTTGGAAGCATATCCTCCAACTCCAGCCATTCAGCTACGAAAGCTGTAAGCAATGTGCTCCAATCTTCAACCGTCTCGAGGTCCAAATGCTTTGCGTCGTCTGTAATTTTATGCCATACCTTAGGGAAAGGCGACGTGATTAAATGCAAGATCTCGACCCCGCGCTTCATAAACGGGATATGATCATCGCCAATTCCGCTAGGGAAAAATCTCTCCTTTTCCGAATCGACGAACCACAGCTGGTCGCCATTCTTCCATGACGGTGCTGACTTGAACTGGCCAAGTTGGCGCAAACGGGTTTCGAGAGAAGCCATGTTTTTATATGCCCAGTGAGTTGTTTTGAAATAAGACGGCATCCGGGGGTCCTTCTCGCCCAGTAGATCGAGAAGGACGAAAAGTGAGATAGCCGATAGTGGGGATTTGTAAGTCGAGGTTGCTGGGTAAAAGGTCTCTTCCATAGCCTCAGCCAAGGATCGAGAGCCGTAAAGGGAATCCGTATCAGTCCAAGAGGCGAATGCTTCTTCGCCGTCCAATAGCAACACTTGGATGCCTCGGTGGTCCAAGAGTGACTCGTGGGAAGGGTTGCCCTTCATAGCGTCCCACTTTTTAGTCAATGCGGCGTCGATACTTCGTACGGAATGCATGATAATTGCGCATGGAGCGGCGCTGTCTGTAGCGCCTATAAAGCCAGCGGGTTCTAGTTTGCTGTCATAATGTGCCGCCAATGTCAACCTGCTTGTCTCTCCAATATTTGACCATGGCGGATCCCGATAGGCGATCAGGTTGACAAAAGGAATGTCCTTGTTTCCAGTCACTGGTGTTTTCGACGTGGAATTTTGGAATTCTATTGTCCACTCCGGTAACGTATTTCTGAAGAAATCAACGAAGTGTTGCAGCACTTCTAGGGAACCTGGAGTTCCTGGTACACGTGGTTTAAGGATGGGAGCAAGGAGGGCACCGTTGTGAATGTCGAAATCATTATTTGGACGTGGAATGGATTTTAATGTGCCATCGGACAGTGTTGCATACGACTGTACGGGAATGGCAAAAAACAATGTTCCCAGCAGGAAGATTAGCCATGAAGTGGCCAACCGGTGGATACTTTCTGCCATTCTCGAGAGGTTTCATAAACCTCATAACACTCATAACAACGCTCCGTGCATTGTCGATACAGAAAAACGGCAGGAGACGTAGGGGCGGTCGTTACTCCCCTGCTTGCAGCAATATCAGCTCAGGTTGTCGTCAGGATAGAATGGAGGTGGTGGATGACGGATGATGACAATGTTTTAAATTGGAGACATGCGCTTAGCCGCCAGGGGAGCCCAAGCTAGGCTTAAAGCGGATTTTGACGCGCTTAAATTAAACTCTGGCGCCTAAGTTAATCACATGACATCGCTCGATTCGCTCTGAACGGGGACGGGAAAGAAATAGCTTCAAGCGGAGGAACAGCTATGAACCCGCGCCGATTGCTCCGAAACATACTCCCACAGTTTGGAAACATCGATAATTACCATATCCTATAGCTTCATGGAAAGTAATGCTTATGTGACCCGCCAATTGCCATTCAATCCCTTCCCCCCAAAATATGCAGAGGCTGCTATTCCGCCTTCCGCTCCGCCAATGCCCCAGAGCTCAGTGCGGCCAGAGGAGAATATTTAGCAAACTATGCATTCGCTTCAATTCATCAGTTGGTGAGGCTTCTTCGAAGGTACCACTGAAGAATAGCACCAAACCCTCAGGGCGGATTTTGCAAGCTCCGGTTCGCACAGCACCGGGCAAATTAACAAAAAATGGTTTGTTGTTTCCAGATATTCCTTGTGGTCATCCTGTATATCCTGATTATCGTTTCTTTTGCTTATGTCTATAGAACCTACAAAACTTGAAGAAATTCTTATCTATCACGCGGGTACGGGAAAGATAGCCTTCATTGGTATGATGCGCATCACCACCCTCCTTATATTTGGCGTTTCCTGTCTGGTTGTCGCCCCAGCTTTCTATTACTCCAGCGACCTCCCCTGGTACATCGCTCCAGCCGGTAGGTCTTCGTCGTATTTGAATATGTAAAAGTGGCCTATTCTAATTAAATGCAGTTGTCATTGGCGGTTCCTTTCCCATGCTATTCGTCCTCTACACCACAGCTCCCTTCGTCAACCTCATCTACCTCAGGCTTCCCCATGCCGCCAGACAGACACGACAGCGCACACAATTCTATTTGAAAAATGTACCGCAAAACGCGATATTGAATATTGAAACCATGAAGTTGAATTTTTACTTTCGAAAAACTGAGGTGGCGCTTTCTGACCTGACACTGGGGCGCTCAACCCTCCGGCCAGTTAATATAATTAACACCAATCCAACCCCTCAGCAGTGGTGGAAAGGAAATAATACTTATTTTTATGCACCAGCTAAAACACGTCTCAGTTCGAAACCAACTTCAAAGTACTTCCCAGAAATATGGGAAGGGGTATTTGCGAAAATCAAGCAGAATACTCCCAGTGGAGCGAGTTGAGTAGCTGATGCGATTCATTCTCACTTGTATTATTAAATTTGACATATCAAGGAGCAATACTTTTTGCAATTTATACAAGCCCTGCTACCTTCTTTCTACCTACTTCTTTACTTCTTTACTTCATTCACTGCACCCAAAAAACAACACAAGTCCCAAACTCAGATTTCTCCTCACCTTTCTTAAAGTCAATGACTTACTTCATTTATTTCTGTTAGCAACACCTCAGCAGCTTAGACCTCTCTCCTCCACAATCTCAAAGGCTTTACCTAAGTTGGCTTTGTGTTGTTGTCTACTTCTCTTTACCATCTATCTCACTTCATCCTTGACTCCTCCATTTCTTCTTTACAGCACAACAGTAATAAACCTCCTTTTTTCAGTTTGGAATCACAAAACACTCTGTTTCCACCCTTCCCTTCTTTTAGTTTGCTTAGACCATCGAAGAACAAAACCTCCATCCCCAAAACAAACACTCGCTACCTACAGCCACAATGGAGAACTTGGAAACTGGCTTGTCTGCTGGGGAGCAACGCATCTTTTTTATCGCAATGACTTGTACCACCGATGGCTTAGCCGGCATCAAGGTATTTATTACCATTTTCCTTCTTGCTGATCCTCATCTATTTGTTAACCCGGAAATTTCTTCACGAAATGCTATTACCTCTCTGCACACCGGGTGAACCTGATCCTGGTCGATTGCCTTCAATTCATTCCGGGTATTGCTATTCTCTAACCACAACTACTTCGAGCCAAATAGGTCAATTATGATCTGCTTGCTGAGAAGGCTGGCCTCAAAAATGCCGCCTGTGCTTCCGTCCTTTACGGCAAAGCCAGGCGCAAGTTGCTGGAAGCCACTCGGGGGGCAGGGTCTACTTCGACTCCCAACGCCAATGGCACGGATCCCACTACGCCAGCAAAGGCAAACAAAGTCACCAAACGTACCCCAAAATCATCCTCTCGCGGGAAGAACGCGGCCACCAAAGCCGCTATCGCCGCAGCCACTCTTGAAGTCGAGGAGACTCCCACTAAGGCCCGAAAAATCAAGAACGAGACCCATTACGATGTGGACATGACTGGCATGATGCGCGCTGACGTGGGGTTCAAACAGGAGTAAGTCAAATTTCTTAAGCAGGAGCTATTATTCTCTGTCTGGCTACTTGACTCCAACCATGAAAAACCAAGACCCATACCAAAACCAAAAATTAAAAAGAATTCCATCGTGTAGGAAGGGTAACGGCGGCTTCGCACGCATTAAATCTGAGTTTGCCAATGGTCTCGCCAATGAGATGATTGAAGGCACGTCCTATCCCCGCTCTGAGCTCGAATGGTCTTTTTTTGAGCAGTCATTGTGGCATGTCGAGACTTACAAAAGTGAAAGTGAAGACGGGTCCGACACAACCTGAGAAAGTCGACATATAAAGAGCAGGCGACCCTCTGCACGAACGAATGTTGTTTCGAAGCGATCCACCCCCGGGTACAAATTCAAAATATTGATCGATTCGGTTTCTTGCATGAGAACTGCCTGTCGTCGTGACCCGACCCATACGAGACGATCGTCTTACTTCATGTTGCCGCATACATTGCTATTCAATTTCCAGTATATTTTTTGTTCTCTTTACCTTTCAGGCAAGTCATGCGATTTTTCTTTGCGACTGGAGGGTTTAGTGACCTCGATGGAATTATTTTTGTTGACGGGGGTAGCTAGTGGAAATTGCCATTTTGTAATTTCTTTTTTCTTAATTTTCCTAGGAGCATGCATCTTGACAACCCAGTTTCGAGAAACTGCCTTTTCGCTCCGTTGAAACCTGCCAGATCCTAGTTCTGCGAATGAGCTTTATCTCATGCATTCCTGGTTTCGAGGAGTAGATATAGCAAAGAAGAATATTGCCTGTCCATAGTCCCCTTAAATTCGTGCTAGAATACAATACTCCATACATATCTCACCAAAGTTTAGTATTTTCTATAAGCTACTAGAGCAAAAGAGCTTCCATCACCACCAGCGCACTGCTGGTAGAAGGGCCGATCAACCCGGGACCCCCAACATTTTCACACCTCCAGCAGCCAGCCAATGACAACTCAGTGATGACAACCTTGTCCAACGCTCACAACGCTCATTAATAATTAACATAAACCTGTCGCAACATCCAGCAGTGGAATGGCGTATATCAACACAATAACAATAAGCACCGCAATTCCCTTTGCACTCTTAGAGCCCAAAAGCTAGATTCTTGACTTTTTAAGATCTTTCCATTAAAAGTCGAATACTCCACCCAACAACCTTCACTCCCTTAATAATATATATATATCTCGCATCTGCCCGCGTTCGACCATGACAACAGGAGCAGTAGCAGCTCCAGCTCCAGCGCCAACGCAAGAAACCCCCTGGCATGAAGCATTCCCAGCACCAAGGACCAAAGCTGCAGCCATTTCACGCTCAGAAGTTCTTGGGTGGTTGAAGGATGTCTCGAAAAAGAGTTCGCTGGTAGACTTTGTGCTGATTGATGTGAGAAGGGCGGACCATGAGGTATGTTTGGTAGATTTTAACTGTCGTTTCTCTTTTGTTCATGTTTGATGTACCGAATTTTCGCAATGTAGACAGGATGAGAGATCGCATGTCTCTCCTGAACTTGAGTCTTTCATGTGATCTATTGAGTGAGGCGAGGTCCAGCCAGCCTGATATAGGCCTTCCTATTCAAGTGGGGGAGATCTACGGTCGACTCTACAGGAGGAAAAAGAAGGGAAAAGGGGTTGTTCAACAAACTTGAACCACAAAGAGTTTAACAGATACATGAATATGTATATATATATATATTCAGGGCGGCACAATATCCACATCCATAAACCTCCCTGCCCAAAGCCTCTACCCGTCCATTCCCACTGTATACTCGATCTTCAAGCAGGCCGGTGTTAAGAAGGTCATCTGGTATTGCGGTTCGTATGGCCCTTGCATTTTTCTTTTAATTTTATCTATTTATATGTTATCATTTATCATTCCACTCCAGCCTCTCACTTTTTCTCGAGTTTGTCATTGATTCATTCAGGTTCATCCCGCGGACGCGGAACCCGCACAAGCGGTTGGTTTGCAGATTATATCCTGGAGAAAGAGGGTGAAAGTGCTGGAGGAATGCAGAGTCTGGTATTGGAGGGAGGGATTAAGGGGTGGGTCGGTGCTGGGGAGGAGTATGTGGAACACATCGTCGGGTACAAGGCATCCGCTTGGAAAGGCACAGAGGGTGCTTAGGAATAAAAAAGACTAAGCGACGAGATAGAAACCTCAGTTAACACTTGAAATATTCAATGAGAATAAAACAAAAAAAATATTTCTATCGTTTGTCTATGATGATAATCGTACGCAGCTCACAGGGAATAAAGATAGGGTGGAAGTATAATGAGGGGTTAATAATAAAATATGAAAATAAAACTAGGAACGCCAGAAACGGACAAAATAGATAGCGTCAAGATATTACCCACCACCCGGAGGTAAATTATTCAGGAATGAGCTTGAAACAATCGAGAAAATACTTGCGCAAAAGAAGTGAAATGATCAAGAGGGGTGCAGAGACCACCTGGAGGCTACAAATTTTTGATAGCCTTGAGCAGAACATCCATACCCCTTTCAGTTATAGCACCTTGACCGTCTCCCGCCTCCACATTACTCTTATCTTTCAGCACCCATGCAACATCACTCCACCATCCCAAACCAATGAGCCCACCCCCTTTCCTGCGCTCAAGGCTTTCTTTCAACCGGCTGGTATGCTCCCACTGCTTCGCGGCAACTTCTGCTCGCTCAACCACCTTGTCCGGAATGCCGCACATGGAAGCACAGTGCATGCCGAAGCTTCCTTCCGCAACACCATCTTCGAGTTTATATAGGAACGTAACACGCTTCTCTTCGTCATCCACATGGATGCGCATTCGTCGCGGGGCTATCTCAGGATGCCCTTCGAATTCAGCAGTGAGTGAGTGATAATGGGTCGCGAAAAAGCCCAGCGCTCCAATGTGAGTTGCAACATGGTGAAGAACAGCTTGGGCCACCGCCACGCCGTCATACGAGCTTGTCCCGCGACCCAGTTCGTCTAGAATAACTAGGGAGCGAGGTGTGGCTTCCGACAAGATCTTCTTGGTTTCAGACAGTTCAACAAAGAAAGTTGACTGTGATGCGAAAATATTGTCGTTGGCACCGAGACGGGACATGACACGGTCGACGGGTGTTAGGCGGGCGGATTTGCAGGGAACGTGGCAACCGATTTGCGCCATGATTACGGCTGTGCAAGTCTACGGGAATATAGAGTTAGCATTGCGATATCTATCAGATATAGAGGCCCCTGGGGTAAAGAAGATACTGACCATGCGTAATATCGTGGATTTACCGGCAGCGTTAGCACCAGTGAGTAGGTTGATATTTGGAGAATTTCCTCCCAGCTTTACATCATTGGGGATAAAGTCGCCCACGTTGGGCAGCATGCATGGATGTCGAAGTTCTTCGAACTCTAGGACGCTACGTTCATCATCCACAAACACTGGGCGACAGCTCGGGTATCCCAAAGCTGAGGATGCTCTCGCTAAACTAATCAAACAATCAAGTTGTGCAATGACTCTCACGGCTGCTAGCCACGTCGAGTAGTTTTCGTCGAATCGAGCATAGAACCGACCTGCAACCTCCTTGACGATCTGGCTATGAGTCTCCTGTGCTTCCTGAAGCTCGCGGATAAGGCTGCGTAACTCAGCGAAATAGAAGCGTTTCGCCTGCTTCGTCGCTGACATTTGATCCCAGCTTTTTGGGACGTTTTTGATTTTGATTGGCACTTCGAGTTGATATATTTCTTTTCCGTTATCCCGATAAACGATGGCATTCGAACCCAGCTGCTTTCTAACTTTTTTGAGGAGTTGATCGAGATCACTTTCTATTTCAGAGATTCTGTCATGAGAAGCATCGAAATCTTCCTCGACGCCGGCCTCTGGTACAAGAATACCAGAGTCTTTAGCTTTGGTACGATCAAAGGCAGTTTTCCAGTACTGCAAATGACCACTCAAATCGGGCATTGAAGCGACTAGTTGTCCAATGACTCCCTCTCCGGGTCCAGTCTCTTTCAGGAGACCCATCGCGTAATCAATCTGCTCGAATCCTTCAAGAACACGAAGGAAATCCTGAGCTTTGCAGCTTCTGGCGTGGACCCGAGAAATGAGTCTCTCAAGATCAGGCATCTTGGTCAACTGCGATGAGAATTGGTTTTGGATGCTCCTGTCTGCGTTTAAAGCGTCAACAGCATCAAGTCGTGCGTTTATCTTCTTGGTATCCATCAATGGGTGGCAAACCCATTGTTTGAACATTCTTTTTCCGAAAGGTGTAGTGCACCGATTGAGGAGTTGAAAGAGAGTTCCCTCTTGACCTCCGTCAAATGAATTGGAGAATATTTCGAGGTTTATCAAAGTCTGGCCGTCCAGCACCAGACTGGTTGCCTTCTTGATCGGATCATACCAGGTGAAGTTTCCGATTGTGATCAAATCTCGTTCGATTTTCAGCATCCTTAAGTATTGTACCAAAGCTCCAAACGCTGACATGACGAATTCTTTGTCCCGTGCGTGTCGTAATGCTTCTGGCCAGGCTTCGATGTTGTCGCCATCATCCGAAACAAAATAATTACTAGCATCAAGCTCGCGCACTGTAATATCGGCTTCCCAGAACTCTTTGCAGGGCTTTAAATAATTCCAGAGGGTAGTCGGCCCAGTGTTATTTTTGAGGATCCGCAAAGCCTTGGTAGACATGACAGACTTCTCAAGAAGTAATTCTTGGGGTCGGGTTTGGGCAACAAACGTCTCAAACTTCGTCATATCGACGTCGTCAATAAACTCTGCTAAATAAAACTGGCCGGTAGCAGTATCGACGAAAGCAATACCGAACGCCGGCAGATCATTGACCAACGCCTCCTTGATAGCCACACAATAAGTTGACATATCATCTTGAAGCATTGACCCATCCACAAGGGTCCCAGAAGTAAGGACACAGGCCAATTCACGCCTGATGATTTTGTCTTGCTTCCCTGGCGTACCATTGGTTTTACCCTGCTTCTCCCGCATCTCTTTACCTAGGGCGCTCTCGCTTTGATCTACCCGCGCGATCTTGAAGCCCTTAGCAACAAATTGATTCGCCCAATGATCTAAGCTCATTTCTGGCACGCCAACCATTCGCATATTCACACGGTCTGTGAGTTTAAGATCGAAGAGCTGATGTCCAATAGTAGCATCATTTTCGTAGAGTTCGTAAAATTTGCCCTTCTTGAAAAATACCACTGTGTCCCAGAATTTTTGTTTGATTTCCCAGTATTGCTTTTCAAAGGGTGAGAACTTCGACCACGCCAGAGGAGGGATGTAAATGGTCCGGGGGTCATAGTCAGGATGACCAGGGGGATTTCGGTCAATGTCCGTAATATTTGCCAGCCAAGGATACCGTTGCTCAGGCTCACTCATATGCGCCTTCACCTTTTTCTTCTCCCCTGGTACAGCATTCCTTGTGACAGCAGCCCGTGGTTTTGGCGGTTCCGTGTCGTTAGGGTCGTAAGTCCATTTCAAGGCAGAACCAGCACAAGCATCTTGAAGGTCGAGATCAAGGTCATCGTCTTGTGCTGGGGTTGATTTCGAGGAAGATACTTTGGCAGTAACGTTAGAAGGCCGCTTGCGCTTTTTTGATGGCTTCACTTCATCCTCAGAATCATCCGGGACAACGAAATCGTCCAGGTCTGCACGCATTTAGTTTCATATAGCCAAATTGAATGATAGATATAGGTTGTACTTACCATCGTCCGAAAACTCGTGGTCATCCTTGAATTCATCTTCGTCACTCGAGGAGACAGCGGTTTTTCTCCTTTTAAGGGACCTTCCTCTGTTAGATTTTCTGTGGATCTGCAAGACGTCCTCCTCATCTGATTCTAGATAGCTCTGAACAACTTTCTTCGCCTATATGCAATAATTGACTAGGTCAGCATGAGTTCTTCTTAGATCAGAGGAAATATATAGAGAACTTTATAATATACAGGCTTACCCGACGTGTAGGTGTGACCGAGCTTCGATCAGCGCCTTCATCCCCAACCTGTACAGCAAAAACTGTTAGAACATATTATGGAGAAGGGAAGGCACCCAGTCACCATCAACCGCACTCTCAGTACTTGCCTTCGCCTTCTCGCCATCCTTTACTACAGATGAAACATCCACCCCAGCATCCTCTTCATCATACCCGGGTACATCACTGCTTGGAACCGGGGTGATGTTCTGCCCACCAGTGGTGACATTCATATTCCCTCCAATATCCAATGATCTTGGCGTATCAGTTCTAAATCTTGATTCAGGGTTCTGGCGGGATTTCCGGTCTGAGGCCGCTCGCTGAGCAGGAGAGGATACTGATTCCTGGCTTGCATCGTTCCGGCGAGTAGGGGAGGTAGCAGAAGTCGACGGTGAAGATTTCTGAAAGAAGCCTAGGATTGACTTTTGGCTCTTCATATTTTGGGTGCTAGGAGTTGATTTCTTGAGGATGCGGGCATTAGGCGTTTTTAGCTGGCCGCTGTCCTCCGCCATATCTCGGGTAGGGCAATATAAACTTCTGATCAAGGTAGGGATAGGTGTAGAGTCGCGGCCAATTTAAGAATTGCAAATTACCCTTTGGACTCATAAGGCTGATATTCTGCTAAAAATTTCAATGAAAGGGTGAAATGGAAAGGGGGAGGGGAAAGACTTTGAGCGGGAGTTGCGGAGGATTGTCTCCCTAACTCTGGAGAAAGATATCAAATAGGGAGACGTGACCGAGCCGGCGCGGATGGCTTAGCGTGTTCGGCGCGTTCCAAGGTTAATGGGGCGTAGCCACGTGATATCAAAAACGCGCAGGATAGGAGAATTTGAGAACTGTTTCTTGATTTTATTTATCGAGTTGGCTAATTGTATTGGTAAAGGTAGGATTGATTGAGATTGTGTGTAATGTATGCTACCATTTTTGCATATATATCCAGAAGTATGTGCTTATGTATAGATCCAACTGGAATCAGGGTATGCCAGCGGGCTCGGAAACATGCCAAAGGGATGCAAATGAAAAAGGGAATCGATCATCTAATTTAATGTACAGCTCTAGGTAAAAAACAAAGATTCGTAAAAGCACAGGTATATCTACACATACAGCAGAGCAAAACCGCTTTGAACGCAACAGAAGAGAGAAAACTGGAAAACCGTAAAGGAGAAAAATCGCATCTCAGCTTGCACCCTTCGGCCCCGTGCTCGACTTGTCTGCTTCTTTCTCAGAAGCTTCATTTTCCTCTGCCTTCCATCCCGGAGCGTCCAGTCCCAGTCTTTCAAATTCTTCGTCGCTCACAATCTTAATAATCTTAACTTTCCACTTTCCAACTTTGAGAATCATCAATGAATCATCAATGATGAATTTCTCTGTCATATCTTTGTCCCAAGTTTTGATCGGAACATAAGACAATTTATCGTCCATGATAGCGTTTGAATCGGATCTCGATGCGACTGCCGCACCATTGTTGACGACAAGTCGGAACGCTTCCGCTTTTGATGGTGCCATGCCTGCTGACCATAGAACCTTGTGGAAGAATTGACCAACGACTAGTGACCGCGGAAGAGTAATATGAGGAGATGGTGCATTGAAGGGACTGGTCTCTGAAAGATTGATATCACGTTTTGGACGGGGCGTCAGTTCATCACTAGTTGGAGTTTTACCGCCGAAAATGCTGCGATGATCTTTCTCGGCCTGGGCAGCCTCCGCGGGCCCTCGAATAAGCTCGACAAATTCAGAGGCGAGTTTGTGCTGTGCGATTCTCTTAGATGGATCCTGCATGTGTTGCTCCATGAGTTCTTTGATGGCTGGTATGGGGAGGAATGTAAAGTATTTCAAATATTGCTCAACATTCTCATCAGTGACTCGCAAGAAGAACTACAACAAATTAGCCTTTCATGGGTTGACAGCACCCCAATTGTGAATGAGCCGCAATAGGTCTCGTACCTGATAGAGATCAAAGCTCGAGGTCATGTCTTGATCAAGCCAGACCGCATTCCCGGCTGACTTTCCAAATTTCTGACCGGAGGCAGTCGTAAGAAGGGGGGTGGTGAAACCCATGGGCTCCAATAATTTGCGGTCTTCATCCCGTGGGGCATGCTTTCGCCAGTATTCATCGTTCGCTTTCATAAGGGGTTTCGTAGCATCCATCCCGAATTGAATATTTCCAGCTTGGTCGGACCCGCCAACCTGTACCAGGATATTCTGTTGTTGGATGAGCTGCCACCAATCCCATGCTTGCAGAAGTGGATAAACGAATTCCGAAAGCGCCATGCCTTTACCACTCTGTAATCGATTTTTCACGCTGCAAGTCATGCTGTGTTAGTCACCCTGGCCCAGGTGGAATCTTGAAAATAGCGCTTAAATTATCGCGTGGAAAGACTCCACTCACGTATCACGCCCAAGCATCGGTCCTAATCGCACAGCTTCTCCCATTGTCTTCATGACCTCGAAGAACGGTTCCTTGAGCCACCACGAATTGTTATTTACGATTGCTCGTCTCCATATCCATTCAGATTCGTATCCATGTTTGGCTGCATATCTCTCAATGGACATCCCAAGTTTCTTAAGCTGGAGGTGCATGTTCGCCATGTTCTCTTTGCGCGTAACGGCGGCCATTTTAGCTCGAGGGGCTAATCGGTCGGTAGGGTCGCCAACTTGACCTGTAGATCCACCTAGCTGTTGAGTTGGATTAGCATATACTCAAATATTCCACAGTACTATAGCCGCCCAAGCAGCATAAGCAAGTTAGAAGCAGTGCGCTTACCAGAAAAACTGTCCTGATGCCATGGACATAAGCCCATGCTAGGACCATGAAAGGTAGCATGTGTCCAACATGTAGAGACGGAGCCGTAGGATCAACACCAGCGTATACACCTACTCGTCTTTCCGTCCACATCTTATTCAACGCATCGCGATCACTACATTCATGAGACGTTAGCGGACTCTTTCTCCGTGCCTCCAGCCGTTCTCCAAAGAAGAAAAAATAAGTCGAAAGAGCCGATATCCAGTTCAAGAACAATAACCAACTGACATACCCGATAACCTGGTTAACCAAACCGCGCTCTTCCATAAGCTCCAAAAAGCTTTTCCTCTTCCCAGCCTTGATCTCCTCCGCAAAGTTTTTCCAGACTTCTTCCCCCTCCCTCATTCGCCGGAGATGTTGCATTGTTACATTTCGTTTCTGGAGAAGAGGCGCTGCTGCGACGCCAGGGCGTCTTGTCCGTAACGACATGAGTCCCGCATTGGTAGACTGCGATCTGAGAAGTATTACAACCGGGGAGCGGGTGCAGCTAGGAGAGGGGCGTAGTTGCGCCATTATTGGCCGGAAAATGGCGGATGAAGTTCAGAACCAGGCGCCTGAAAATTGCCCAGCTAGTTAAACTCTGCCCCTTATATCAATGGGCGTGTACAACCTAATTTGATATCCTGCGGAGAATGAGTTCCTGTCCGAAGTCGAAGTTTGGCGGAACTTTTTCGATTTGACGGAGCCAATCAGCGAGCATGAAAAGACATCGGATAAATAATAATCCGCCGCGAGTGGAGAATCCTTTCGCGTTTCTCAAACGCCAGCTAAGAAATAGTTAAAAGGTTAGGCGTAGTTACCCGTAGTTTTTGTTCCAGTTAAGCTTTCTATTTACAAAAAAAATGGCATAAACACGACAGGGCCACGGCTCTTGCACTGGGAGGAATCGTTTTGAAATCACATTGAGGCCCTGTAATTCTAGGCAAGGTACTAAGTGAATAGGCCAGCTTCCAAAATTTACCAATTCGACACAAATATTGAGTGGTGATCAAAACAGGCAAAGAAGGGAAATGAATGGCAAAATGGGAATTAACTCATGAAAACCTGAACCACAACCTCGTTACTCCAACCGCTAACCAAGCCCATCTCCTTCCATGCTGCTGCAACATCAATTGCAACCACCTTCTGGTCATCTTCTCCCGTAGGCTGTATCTGAACTGTGTGCATTGGTACCGCTCGCCCCGAAAGCATGACCATGAAATCTTTTGCTATGGTGCGAGTGTCAATGTCAGAAATATAAATGCCTAGCGTTCCCAAAGCCTTAAGAGTAACATCAAACTTGAGCCGGCCGTTAGCAGCAAGGAAAACATCCGAGCTGATAATCGCAGCGACGCCCGTCATTTTGCCCAGAAGGCCTAGGACAGCGACACGTGTGGGCGTAATGTCGTTAGTATTCGAACCTGCATCCTTGTTGCCATGTCGGTTTGGCATTTTGAAGCTGTAGACTGGGTAGACGGTTAAAATCTCCCAGCCTTTCGTCTGGAGCGACACGGCGACTAGACAGTCCTGGCTGGAGGGTTTCATTACGTGTGTGATTGCACCCGTGGAATGAGCGCGAATTACGTATTCATCATCACTGCCAGGTGAGATGCCATGGAAGTCAAGAATGGAGACTATGGAGCTGATTTTCTGAGCGCTGATGTTGAAGAGCCCCAGGATTCCGCTGCCGGTCTTAGCCCATCCGTTATAGCTACCAACCCTAAGCATCTTCCCTTCGTTGTAGTTGTGATATACGTCAATAGAACGGCCTAGGACGCTGGGCCGGAGAATAACTGTGTTGCCTCTAGTTGTCGGGGCTGTCATCTGGTTGATGACGTTGATGTCATGTTCGCCTGGCACATCAGTGATGTATATCGGACCGCCAGAGACGCATCTAGCTGCGGCATGGAATGACGCATACGGGTGGCTAGTCTGAAACATGTCCCAATCAGGGATGACGTTGAGATGCTGGGTCAATAGAGCGTTATGCGCGTTACAAAATACGTGCCACGGGTGGGAGGATGGAATATCAGGGAAGAAATCATCTGAATTTCTCAAGAGGATCCGTGGCTTATTAGTCGGCACCTGTGAATGGAAAATGATTTGCGGGGTCTGCGACATGCAACTGATTGCTTTGGCCTGAAAATGCCGCAATGAAGCAATGGACCAGGCGTCCTGGTACGCTGATGTGAACCGGACCCGATCTTTAGGATCCTGGAGCAAGTCGAGAAAAAACTGTGCATCTGTCTTCACAGAGTCAACCCCGGCCGCCAGAAGAAATTTGTACAAATCGTCGTAGAACCGATGAATATCGTCTGGGTCGATGGCCAACATACTTCCTCCCGCAACGCCGTCCCGTTTCTTGACAATCTTGGTTTTATACTCTTTCGCAATCTTCCCGTCTGGTGAAATACCTCCCCAGTAGCCCAGAAGTGCGTGCCAGACAGCAATATGTTGGATATTCGGATGCGCCTCGCGTATTTTGCTAGTTGTATGCTTCAATCCATTTGGGAACCCATCCTTATTCGCCTCAAATTCCATCCATCCCCGTTTGAACTGGGCGACCCCCTTTTTATCCAGCGCTTGCCAATTATCATCTATGATAAGGTTGACAATATTAATGCCATTCGCCTTTAGCGTATCGAGGGCCTTTAGTATTTTCTCCTCCGTGAGGTCCTGACCTAGAGAGTTCCAAGTACAATAAGCTAGGCCGTCATACCAATCAGACATCCACTGAATCTGGGGATCATTCTCCACGAGAACTACATCGTTTCCCAATGGTGACTTTGGCTCACTTAACGCTTGCGGCGTAGGCGAAGAAGCTTGTTCAGACCCGGAAAGCTTCTTCACGACTTTTCGTGCCTCGTACATGACAGCGGAATTTGCAACCTCGAAAGAAGGTGCCACGGCAACTAGGACCTGATAAGTTGAATTGTGGATGCTATCATTCTTTACAGCGGTCACCACCTGCCCATTGTCCCCTGATTTGAAAACAGTCAAGACATTATCTACACCACTTATCGCAAGGAGAACGAGGTGGGTTCCATCCTTGCGCAAAAATGCCAGAGAGATGGCATCCTCCGTCAGCGCCAGCTTGTTCAAGCCATGTCGAGGTGCCAACCAGGGTTCCCATATACGAACAAGAGCAAAATATCTCACAAAGTCCTTCGGGAAGCCAAAAATTATCTCTTCGTACGTGCTCTTGTCATTAACCGCAGACAAAATGGACCCTGTCACGCTCCATAAAATTGCACCCGGGGACTCGCTCGAATGTACCTCAATCCGGAGATTTGGGTTAAGGCCATCTAAATACTCTGCTAACAACTTTGATGGCTGGGTCACAGGATTCAGGCCTTTGAGGAGCTGCAAGCTGGTGGGTTCAAAAACTAGTTCCCCGTCTTTCATTCCAAACTGGTCATTCACCCACTGCCATGAGGAATTTGCATCAATTCTATATCTGATAGTAAAAGCTGCATGTCTGCCGTGCTTCGGGAAGTCAAGCTCCTGCGAGAAGCTGTAGGTGTGATAATTTGGGCCTGGTCGAGGACCGACAGATAGAGGAATAGGTTGGGATGCTAATCCCTTTTGTAAAGAGAGCGCCTCCCAAGCATCACTACTGTTGACATTATGCCAGATAGAAACTTCCCAGGTCTGTTCCGGGAGTGAGCGGTTTGACTGGAGCAAAACGGTAAACCGGAGCTACTGGAATGTTAGTAGGCGAATAGAGATAAAATAATGGTAATCGCGCCAATAATTATCTGAATGAAAATAAATAAATATATATAGATATATATATAGACCAAGAGGGGCCATGTAGCAAAGGATAGATATGCTAGTATCAAACCATCACGCTACAGATGTTGGGGTGTGCGCGCGGGGGAGCTCGCAGTAATTAGCATACCTTATCCCCATCCCCGGTTCTTTTCAAGCACGTAACATGCCCCAGTGGTGGCCAGCTAGTGATATCAGCAAAGAGGCTCATTTGTGCCGGTCGAACGAATTTGATCTGTGAGGGCCTTGGTTCATTTCCTTCAATGCGTTGGGATACATTTCCTTGCCCCTCGTTTGGCGGCACTGCAGCTGGAGTGCTGGACGGCTTGAACGGAAGTGTTGCTTTCGACATGGTATTTGATAAATGGAGGGGCGAGGTGATGCAGATATCCTATCCTCCTGTTTCCCGCTGGCTTCAAGTTTAAAAAGCTCAGTTGGTATCTAGCGAGGTGGCGGGGGTTGAAGTGGTCTAGCGGAAAGAAACAATGGATGGCTTGTATTTATATCACGTAGTCGATATTAGGTTGTCCAGATCACACATCACACATGTGTAGGGGCTTATTAGCCGTTTGATTCGTCACCGAATTAATATTTTTAAACAACCAATAACTAGATGTAAAGTGAAGTATCGGTTTCGAGCACATCCACCATCCATAGCTTGTTCCATGACCTCATTTAAGTAAGGGGGGATGAGGAGCCGCTTCTCCGGCTAGTTAACTTTAAAGTTACTATAGTAAGCTTCAACTCAAGCCGTGTCATCCAATCATTCGTATGTACTTCAGAGAGCCTTATACATAAGCTAAGTGACGAGTATGCATTCTTATATGTTTAAAATCCAATAACTAGTGTACTATTTATCATTCTACGTCTCAGGAAAAACAAGTGGATACAAAGGCGGAGGAAAAAATAAAGAAAAAAACAATTAAATATCCTTAAAATTTTAATCGAACAATGCAAATAGGATTATCAAGACAATTATTCCTGAAGGGGTCCTCCAACACTGCCGAATGTGACGGTCTTGACGGTTAGGAATTCATCTACGCCGTACTTACTGCCTTCGCGACCGAACCCGCTCTGCTTGATACCACCAAATCTGTAAATGACAGTTGAATTAGCTAAGAAGAAATACCGTAGATAGATCAAAAGGGGAGTGTTTAAAAACGTACGGAGCAGCGGTATCGCTAATAATACCCGTGTTCACTCCAACCATGCCGACCTCCAGCGCCTCCGCAACACGGAAAATCCGTGCCACATCCTTACTATAGAAGTACCCAGCCAACCCGACCTCAGCTCTATTGGCAAGGTCGACGACCTCCTTCTCAGTCTCAAACGCGAAGAGACCTGCCACAGGCCCGAATGTTTCTTCAGATGCCAATTTCATATCCTTGGTCATCCCCGTGAGAACAGTGGGGTGGAAGAAATTTGAGCCGAGATCAGGCGCCTTCTGACCACCTACAACAACCGTTGCGCCTTGAGCAGTAGCGTCGAGGACATGCTCTGACACTTTGTCGACGGCGCGGGAGTGGATAACGGGACCGTGCGTGACGCCCTCGGAGAATCCGTGGCCGAGCTTGAACCCCTTAACCTTCTCGGCGAACTTAGCTGCGAACTCGTCGTAGATACCCTTTTGCACGTAGATGCGATTAGCACAGACGCAAGTTTGCCCAGAGCTGCGGAATTTAGATGCAATGGCGCCGGCGACGGCTGCGTCGAGGTCTGGGCAATCATCGAAGACGATGAATGGGGCATTCCCGCCAAGCTCAAAGGATAGTTTCTTTAGAGTTGACGAGGATTGCTTCATGAGGAGTTTTCCGACGTTCGTGGATCCTGTAAATGAAACTTTGCGGATCTCCGGATGCGTGGTGAGGCAGAGGCCGATTTCAGGCGTGTTCTTATCGGCGGTGACAATATTGACGACACCCTTGGGGATTCCAGCACGATGAGCCAATTCTGCGATCGCATTGGCGGTAAACGGGGTCTCGCCCGGGGATTTGGCTACGACGGTACAACCAGCCGCAAGAGCAGGGCCGATTTTTCTCGTAATCATAGCGGCGGGGAAGTTCCAGGGCGTGATAAACCCACAAACGCCAACGGGTTCCTTCATAGTCATAATCCTGTTTCCGGGAACGGATGATGGGATAGTATCACCACAAATGCGTGGGGCCTCCTCACTGAACCACTCGAAGAAACTGGCAGCGTAGTTCGTCTCTCCCTTGGCGTCTGCAATGGGTTTCCCGTTCTCCCAGGTGATTAGTGTCGCTATATCATCCGCGTTGTCCATCATTAATTGGTACCATCTTCGAAGCATCCGAGCTCTCTCGCGGGCCAAAGTTTTTCGGAAAGATGGGAAAGCGGCGACGGCGGCATGGATGGCTTTCTGGGTATCCTGGACTGAGAACTCGGGGCATGTCCCAATGAGTTTCCCCGTGGATGGATCTATATAAAAAGGATAAAAAAGAAGTGTGTCAGTTACTTAATCGATTACAGAGCCTCGTACATTTTCCACGTACCATGTACTTCAAAAGTCTGCCCAGACTGAGCCCCAACCCATTTCCCATTGACGTAGCATTTCTCGATAAACAGAGATTTATCCTTCAACTATATAAAATGAACACACAAACAAGCACGTCAATTCTCGAGTTTTCAAAACACTCCGAAAGCCTAGTCGTGTCCAAAGCTTACCTGTGGCACAGTGTGCATAGTTGCTAGCCTCCTGACGGGAGAAACCACAGGTATCGTGAAAGGGTAGCTTGACCTCGGGTTATTGTAAAGGGGACGAAGTAGTTTGTTCATTTGGAGAGCAATAGCGAAAAGCGAGGGTTATAAAAGAGGACAGAAGAAGAGGGGGAAGGAGAAGGGCCTCGGAGCACTTCGCACAAGACGAAGCCGGGGATGCGGGGATCTGGCTGCTATGTCACCAGCTAACTAACTGCTGCAGAGAATGATGTAATTCTGGTTGAGCGTGTTGCTTGGGCGGGAAATGTCCTAGGAGCCAACAATTGAGGCCAGAAACTTGGAAGGAGTTAATGAAGTCGATATAAGGTGGCTAGTGATAGTAGGAATAGATAATACTAATAAGAAAAAAAAAAAAAAAAAAAAAGAAAAAAAAAAAACCAGAATAATAACAGGCTTCGGAGTTGGGAAAAAGAGTCCAGCTGCTGCCGAACCGCGTCATAGGCGAATTGGTTGCCGGCACCGGGCCGACTCCTGGGACCAAAGAGCCGAAGCGGGAGCTAATATCGGAACAGCTTTGGGACTTTCTCATAAATTATATAGAATGCAGTGAACACATTTCAAGTTTTATGTCTGTATTCTTTCTGGACTTGAAGAGCTATTATTCCGTATATTTGTTGTGTTCTTCTCTTCGCCCTATCGTGCTGCTGGTTTTTGATAGCTGGAACATTGCCCGATGCTAGGAAAGGATAGTTACTGATTATATAGTAAAGAATTTAACGGCTGGAGAGAGCTGGATCCAACCTGGGCCCTCAAGCTTGGAAAAATTTTAGGGAACCTTGGGACTGGAGCTCGCTAGTCTAGCGGGTTCGGTTTACTCGGCGAGCGACTTAGGCTTTAGGCCACTCGGGCAACTAATAAGTTGACGGATGGCTAGGGATCACGGCAAGAAGAACGCAAAGCAAATAATTATTAAGGAAACAGGCAAATCCCACCTTCCCATCTCAGCCATATATAGAATCTGAGTTGAATCTCTTGAAATCCGTAATGTATTGCCATGCTGCAGTCCAGAGGTAAGTTAGGCCATAAATACAAAAACAGGAACATATGAGTAGGTGAAACTCATATCATATCTCAATCCCATCCAACCTTCGGAAAAATATCCCAACATTCCCATGCCCCTGCTCTCCTAAGCCCGTCTCATCTATCACAGCAAACACTACCTTCTCCCACCAACCCCCGCGGAACTCAGGCTCCGAAAATACCTCTGCCCCACAGTTGGCAACCTCCTCGGGGGGGTTTCTAAAGGCGCCACACACCCAAGCGCACCCAAAACCAATTTCCGATACCTCTTCCACGCAGAGAGTCGAAGAATAACGCGCATCTTCTCCTTGGTGCGATCGCGATCGTTGGGATTTGCAAACTTCATCAGTGAATTAGCGCCGTTGATCACCTCAGGGCGACGCAGTGCTGCCATGGATATAACGCTAACAAGCGGGAGGGTATCGGGGTCTGACAAATCCATCAAACCATGGCCATCCTTTAAATTGTTTCTGAATACAATGACGGCCGGGCTGTAGATCACGGCACTAGAAGGTGTTGGGTAGAAATATCGTTTAAGGGATGCGGTGAGCGTGCTGCGTCTGCATAATGCTTCTTCCTGTGCTCGGGCGCCGCTGAGCCAACCGCCGCCTGGAACAAAATCACCAGCCATGTTCAAGACGGTGACATCTGTCACTGGGGAGCCCGACTGGTTATTATCACCGTTGCTGTCACTGAGTAGTCGGATGCCGGCATCAAAGGTATCCGCATCGAGGACCTGAATTTTAGTCCCGCTGAACTTGGGGCACCATTTCTGGTCTAGACGCGGGGGGCGGTGGGAGATTAATAAAGAATGCCTTCTCTTAATAAAGGGCTATTCCTGGATGCATCTAGGACACCCGGGATGACTGCTTTCGTTTCATGGGAGATAGCTCGTAGTTGTGCGCGTTCGTTCGCACGTCCGTCTGCAACGATTTCCCGGCCTCGACCGCGACCTCGAGTAGGTTGCCCAGCAAAACCTCTCACACCCCGGAGTCCACCTCCGTGTCCGCGTCTGCGTCCACAACCTCTGGGGGAGCTCGCGGCGCTAAATATGCCTCTTGTTGGATTCGACATAATTATCTGATTCAATCAATCCCTGGCAGTACCTACCTAGCATTAGTTCAGATGCAACCTTTCCTACGAAGAATGTGGAGCGCTGGAAATATTTAAATATTTCAAAGTCCAGACTTTGATACATGTTGTTGATGAATGGTGAGGTATTCCTAACTCATGAGGATTGATAGAATGAATTACCCATTTGGGTGTCCGACTTCTCGGATTGCGAATGGAATGGTTAGCGCGAGAAACTCTTTGTCGTCAATCCTATCCACTAACAATAGATACGAGAAGTGGCTGGTACAGTTTGATTGTCTCTGACGGCCTCGGGAATGCGCAATTGCTTGGTATGGAGAGGGTTTCAGCATGAAATACGGAGTACATAGATTTGGCATTCTGCTGCTCTCTTGGTTTTTGAAGCTTCCTGGATCGAGAGTTAAAATAAGCTCTGCAGCCCCTGGAATGTACAGTACATAACTATGATATCACCGTTTTCAGATAAACCCGCCCCATCCTCTCTCTCCTCATGCCATGAATATTCTTCATCATCTCCACATTACTTGTCGTAATTATCTTGCCGTATATTCGCTAGTTCCTCTCTTGGCTACCCGTCACAGCAAGTGGGATATTCGAAATATTGCTTTATAACATACTTGATTGATTCCTCGAGTTTTTGCACTGGAGAGCACGCAATTCTATGAATACGATGTGAAAGCAAAACACTGAATACAGCTGAATTTCGGAAGATAAATGTGGTTGTCTGACAGCATCCATCGATCTATGAGTATGGACATACAGAAATCCCTGTCGAATAATGGAGGCCAACAGCCGGTTGTAAAGCAGGAAGATATCCCTCCGGGAGCTTATGAATATCAGTTTCAAGGGATTGAGCACATGGAGCGGGTGATCAAATCTCACATGGACCTCCTTGATGATGAAAATAACAAAATGAAGGGGAAGGAGAGGGGGCGCGCGAGACTACACGTCAGCTGACCTCACACAAAATATTACTACCTAGTCAAATGCAAAGTGTTTATAACAGCGCTGTAGTTTTCAAGTACGACTAGGCTGGAGACTGCATACAAGCAATGCTGTAAAAGTGAAAAATGGACGTAGTTTAGAAATGACGGAGCGTATAGCGAGACCCAAATGCGGACCACGAGACGATTGAAACAGGGAGAAAAGAACAATATGATACCGATCTCCGGAGTACACCTGGGCAGTTACAGGCCTCTGTGTCAGGATGCCCCCGCTATCTATTATTATTGGTTGAAGCTCGGCTTCAAGTTACAAACAAGACAAACAAATAAGGTAACTTAAGTTAGTTGGTGACCCACCCAACCTTAACCTAACCTGTCGCCCGACCACCTATTTCTCTCTTTGCCCGATCGTTGAGCATCATACATTGTCAGGAAATCTTTAAACATCAACACGTATAGGAATGGCAGACCTTTCGGAGGACGATCACGCCGTGATTTTAAGGTATCCTTTGAATGACTCACTTGATCGATTAGAAAAGCTTCTTCCAAACGCAGAGCATCACTACAATGATGGCACGACAGAAAGCCGCGAAGCCTGCCATGATGCAACATCGAAACTCCTCACCACCTTGATGGGTGAAAAGTCAGCTTTCCACCTACGTTCACCAACAGGCAATAAAAATGTGGCATCCGAGCTATCAAGATTATTCACCTGCCTTCAAGATGGCGACTTTAGCTATGAACACTACCGGACACTAGTACAACTTGTCATCCAAAAGGCGACCGATGTTGACATCTGGAAAGCCGTCCTCGACCTCATCACCACCGTCTCGCGAACGACCCCTCCGGCGAGTATACTTCCCACTTCCTTAGGAATGCCGATCAAATCCACCTCATCATCACAGAAAGGCTCCGAGCAGACATGTGAGTTGGTGAATTCAAGGATCTTTGAGGAGATAAGTGGCTGCACATTTCGAGGTGTCGAGGGCTTCTTTGTCAAGTACTTTGAGGGCAAAGACTGGAGCAACAAAGTGGATGCCATCTGTCAACGCGTGCTAGGCCCAGACAGTGATGGTAATTGGGCCCAGTTTCCCAATCCTCCTACACAGAATGATGTCCTTGCCTGGTGGTTTCATCTTCAAGAAGACCTTCTCTCAGAATCACGCAGCACCTACTACTCCACAGTGAGCAAAGCAGATCTTACTGGTTCAAAGGCAGAACGGCAAGTTGACCTTCTTTTACAAGCTAAGGGTGGGAGTCCCTTGCAAAACAAACACAACTGGACAGATATTCTGGTGGTTGGTGAGCTCAAAAAACCTAAGGAGAAGATCAGAACTAAAGCCACACTGCTTCAGATCAGTTGCTCTGTGTGTGAGGTCTTTGCTGCACAGCCCACTCGGCGGTTTGTCCATGCATTCACTGTCTGTGGGACAAATATGGAGGTGTGGGTATTTGACCGCGCGGGCCCCTACAGCTCAATAATCATTGATGTCTACACAGACTCAAGACGGTTCTTTCAGGTGCTTGTGGGCTACACTATGATGAGTGATGAAGAGCTGGGACTGGACATCTTTGTTGCTAGAGATGAAGATGGCAACAAATCAATAACTGTCAAAGGGCCTGGGAACTCAGAGGGAAAGAAGGTGCAGCTGGGTGAGATGCTTTCCTATCAGCGTGCCATTGTGTGTCGCGGAACCACATGTTTTCTTGCAAACAATGGACAGGGTGTAGCCAAATTCTCGTGGGTGTCGGACAAGAGGCGGCCAGAGGTGGAACTCCTCGAGTTGGCGGGTCAGAAGAATGTCCAGGGGGTCGCCAGAATCATTGGCCACAGTACCATCACTAGTATCGCTGACATGCGCTGCGGCCTGACCTTCAACAACAAGCACCACAGCTTCAAAAGTGCTCCCCCCAGCACAGTCTCCTCATTTCATCAATCTCAGCCGCTCACCGATCCCTGTCGCTTAGATATCCATCGAAAATCATCTTCCAAGAAACGCAGATCTCCGGACAAAGGGATGCATTCATCCAAACGATCGCGTTCCATCCATCAACTGTCAAGGGACACTGAGGAGGATGAATTAGCTTTCTCCATTCAGTCGGCACACAAGCCGAGCCTCTTTGATAGGAATGATGAGGAACTCTATGACAACCGTGTCCTCCGCTGTCTGGTGATATCGCCCGCTGGCCGGCCAATCTACAAGTACAAATCACCCTTGGAGCTGCTCAAGGCGCTTCGTGATGCAATAAAGGCACATCGGTCTCTTTATCTGGATGGAAACATCCTTCATCGGGATATTTCAGAGAACAATATAATAATAACTGATCCAGGCAAGGCAGATGGTCACTCAGGCATGCTAATTGATCTGGATCTTGCCAAAGAAGTTGGGAGTGAGCGAAGCGGCGCGCGGCACCAGACTGGCACAATGGAGTTCATGGCAATTGAGGTGCTGCTTAATATTGATCATACCTATCGGCATGATCTTGAGTCTTTTTTCTACGTGCTTATCTGGCAGTGCGCCCGTAATGGCTGGGGGAAGGATAAGTATTCTAGAGATAGTAAACTTCGTGCCTGGTACACTGGTAACTATGAGGACATTGCAAATGCCAAACTTGGTCATATGAGCAAAGCTGAAAACATGGGATTTGGATTCATTTTGAGGGAGTTCCCTCCAAAATTTCATGGCATTGTATCACTTTGTCAGGTCCTACGAGACATTCTCTTTCCTTACAATGACAAAGGTCTTATTGTTGGCACTCCTCAAGACCCAAACCGCCTGTACCATCCGATCATCAAGGCTTATGATGACGCGATCACCCAGGTTGAACTTGGAAACCTCACTCATGATAAATCTATTTAGTGTGCTCTCAGAGTTAAAGTTTCTATTGATTTGTTGCCGCATTCACAGTCTATTTTGAGTGGAGGGATTTTGTCTTAGGGCCTGTTCGGTGCGGCCGTGTGTACTCATTCTTTTTGTACAGATCTCCACTTTTTTTAAAAAGTACAGAGCGTCTGTACTAATATTACAGCTGCTTTTTACAAAGTACAGATGAAAAAGGCCAGGTGTTCAGTGGATTGAGCATCCGTACTTGCATCTTTTGCGAAGATCTTATGAATAAGCAGTATTTAACTTCAACAGTGTGTGATGATGTAGAATAGCACTTTTAGAGACAATATAGTGTGGAATAGTGTAGAATAGTGTTCATAGTGAAGATAGTTAACTAATATTAGTTAGAAGGAAGCTCACAAAAACATGTTCTTTTTGAATGGAGTCCAGAGTCAGTTCAAAAAGAATGTGTTTTTGTGAGCTTCTTTCTCCATCCCAGAGAGCAGCGGGCAAGGTGGAATAGTGTGGTGGCACAACGCCGGCTTGCTACGAATTTGGTAAATACACTATTTTTAATGAGATCCACTATTGCGTTCAAAAAGTACGGACGCACTGAACAGGCCCTTATTCATAATATTAACAGGCTAGCAAATCTTTAGTGACTTGATAAAGACTCTTTGATGGCTAAATCATATAGATTTCATTCTTTATAATTGTACATTGAAGATCCGCTCTTACAATTTCTCCAGGGCTCTAATCAACCATGAAAAGTGGCCGTGGATTCCCATTCTAACCAGGGATAGCGGGTTTAATCAGTTAACTTTTGTTGGAAAGAGTGGTCATCACCGTTCCACACATAAATCTATGCCTAGTACGAAGTTGTGCATCTCAAAATTGAAGCTGGAAGCACTTCGCCTGATTCACTCAAGATTAAGCAAATTCCCCATCTTGTTGCTCTCCTTCAGAATCCGGCGGGTCCCTTTGGCATCGACTCTCATGTCCTCCCGGACCAACATCTCCAGCGGTTCAGGAACCAAGACCTGGGCATACACAACGGTACCATACTTCGAAACCACGCTATCAATGCCGGCCAGTGAGTCGATGGCATCTTTAAAGTGAGACACGACATGCTCTGAGCTAGAGGGAAGGTCAGTGAAGATGTGCCTCGGTGAGTTCACGGGGTTTTTTTTGAGGGGGGGGGGGGACTCACAAGATCCCATGGCCTCTGAGGCCATAGTAGCCAGTTCTATGCAGGACACTCCGGGAGAGGATCTTCCTGCCATGCTTCTGCACTTTCTTGTGCACAACACTCTTATAGCGGGAGCGGTACCCAGGGAACTAATGAGAACCGGCACAAAATATGAGAGGCACCAAGGAGAGACGGAGAATTATCAATGCCTATAGAACAAAAGTGTTCTACGTCACAAGCAAATTTCAAAAATCTGCGGCATCGCGCCATGGCCTGTTCCATTCTTGGGAAAATAACATGGCCCGGCCATGATTAAATAAGGCAAGGATTCTATATGTCATCCCTAGGGAAAGTATATCCCCTATCCTTCAGAGTATCAATGGCCTGGTCATGCCAAATGTCATCCCTAGAGGAAATATCCCCTATCTTTCAGAATGCAGGAAATAATGAGTCCGGCAGCAAATTGTGCCTTCCAATGTCTTCACATAGGATGTATGGCTAGCTTTCCTAGTTTGAAACTTTTCATGTTTTAATAAAGAAACAAACTTTCATTCAGTCTTGTTTGTGATGATAGACTGTTCTCTGAAGATCTTTGAAACACAATTTTTCGGATGTCTAGTTCCCATGAAGAGTAATTGAAAATTATTGAGTATAGCCTGAAACTTTCCAGTGGCGCTGGAATGAGGGAGTTGCGGACTGGTGCAGGGTCGTCAAAAACTCAAACGTGGCAGAAATAATCCCTTCTACTTTGCAAGAAGCGTGGCCTCGTATGGCTAAGTGTCAGGAAAAAGAGATTATACACTACTGAACGCCACCAACATCGTATTACTACAATATTTCTCATCATCATCAGCTTACTACAACGCTCGTCTAATACTCGCTTATGCTAGCTCTCTTGGCTCGCACATATATTTTACTATAAATAGCTCTATCTTTTGTATGAAATAGATATATTAGATAGTGCACGGATAATATAACAAGCAGATCTTGATACAGATAAGATTCATATGTCTTCAACATATTCATCCGTGACACCCAATCCGACACTAAGCTACTGAGGGGGTAATGGGGCAGCTGTGCTTAACTTATAACCCCGGCCCTATTTCAGACGACCCCGTTGATATGTCCCACCATGAGGCTCACTCCTTAGTTGGGAATTGCTCTTGAGCTCCTATAACCGTAGTCTTAAGGTCATTGTATTTCCATAGATTGTTCTGGATGTCCGCCGGGCTGTGTATGCAATTCAATCCTGTCCCTTGAGAAGAAGTATCCAATGGAGCCACATGAGTGCCCAAAATATAGCCAGACGCATAGCCTGGAGAAGGAAATTAATTGATAAAACTATCAAATATCTTTAAACAGTCAAATCCATAGACAAGGTACTCCATCCTGATCTCGAGCAGTCAACCTCTGAGAGCCATTTGAAAACGTAACTGTCCTAGGACCACAATTCTAGGCGTAGAATTTGCAGCCAGGAAACTTCAGATATAAACAGATCTAGCATTTTCTCAATCCAGAGGCCCCAGTCATCATCCCAACATAATGCACAAACAGCTAGACAGTACTCCCAGTAACTTGAATACCAACCAGACTTCTCCCAATCAAGAATGACAATCTCCAAAGTGCGATTATTGGCAGTCATCCGCTGGGGGTCACTCTGAATCATAATATTTTTGTGTTGACAGTCACCATGAGTAAACATCAGCTTGTGGCCACAGAAAATGTGTGGCAGACATTGACAGTAAAAATCTGCCTTGTAATGAGGCCGGCTGTCATGAGTGTATTTCCACACCATCGCTTTGTTGAGCGCGGCTTCAGTGATGAATGAACTATTGATCATAGCTTCTGTGTGCTGTGTCCAAAATATCTCATCAAGAAGGGTTTGTTTGTCTATGCTCATAGTAACCTGGTGATGGCAACTGGTGTAGCTCCTTGTAGTATTATAACTGTGCAGTTTTGCAACAATAGATTCCTTTTCTGCACCTGTCAAACTTGCCCACAGTTTTGCAAGTGTCTCACGAGCAATATGTTCCATGACAATGTAGTTTTTGCCTATTTGTGGGTTTGAGTAGAGAGCATAAACTCGAGGCACAGGGACCTTTGTCATTTCCTGAACAAATAGCATGTTCTCTTCTTCAACAAGATTGACGCCCTTCCTGAACTTCACAATGTAATGGCATCTGATCTGGAAAACCCATCACCCTTCATACTCCGGAGATATATTCAGTGCATTCTCAATTTCAGCTTCTGTCGGGAGAGGGAGAGGGACATCTGTTGCATAGTATGGCAATTTGACCGAGCTGTCCATGGTTATTGGATGGTGACGATAAGAGAATGGGATAGTGTAGTTGGGCTGTGTGTCCACAATAAAAGCATCGACTCACCCACCTTTTGAGCGTGGGAAATCATCCACTGCTTCCGTCCAAAATATTGCTACACATCCCCTCAAGAAGTTTGAATCTGCTTCCGATTTCGATACCATAGACGAAACTACAGAAGTAACTTCGCTAGGTGCAAAAACGCGACAAATAGGTCAAAAAAGAGAGCAGTGATTCCCCCATTCCTACAATTCTTGGTTCCTTACTTACAGGACAAAGGGAAGTCTCCCGCCGAAATGTCTTCCGAGGTCTATCGGGTTAACAAATGACGATCAATCTGGCCATCTTTTCCAAGTGGCGGGCAATATTCAAAATGGAATGACTTTTGAGGATAAACCCGGCAAGAAGCCAGAGGAGTCAGCGAGTTTTCAAAGCAAGGTCTTTGTTGAAAAGGTGTTCTTGGAGGATAACGTTGTTGTGTTGTGTTGTAATCTAACTACGCGAGTTACACTAAATGAATAGGTTGGGGTGGCACGTGACTAGGGTAGGTGTAGTAATCACCAACACCCCCCCTTGCTACACCGTGGCCTATAAGCCGCCACCCGGGGCCTCCCCCATCCTCAAATCTTTCGAAAATGCAATAATAATTAATTACATCAATCGGACCCTGATTTCCTTATTAGGAAAGGCGTCCGTACAGTAATAACCGTAAAAATCAAGAAATACATGCAAAATCCACTGATTCACTGTATCATTATTACCATTCAATCATTCCTTTCTGATCTCTTTCAAACCAATCCTTTTGACAAATTCTTCAAATGCAGGCTTCGCCAGTGGCTTGGTGAGCCCGTCAGCTATGTTCGCTGTAGAACCAACATGTTCCATCATGATTTCCCCTTTTTCAACCAAATCGCGGAGAATATGATATCTAATCTCAATGTGGCGTCATATAAACAGGTTGCATCATCTGTTATACCCAACCAGTAGCTTGCACCCCCCCTAGTGGGGGTGTCATTCCCGTTGAAAAGTGTTTTTCCACCCCCTGCCAGATCGATGAAGAATCTCATTGCCGGCTTGACAGCTCGTGTCATAGGTGTGAAGATTGGATGTGTCATTTTTGCAATATACGCGGGATTTAGGTGTCCTAGCTTTTGATGCCATTGCATCATTGTAAGTTCGGATCAAGTCTCTGTATGTAACTGGCCTTTCCATCTCATAGATATCATTCTCATTTAATCTTGCTGTAAATGAGAACATGCGGTCGGGAGACATAATCAACATAGCATGATTATTCCCATATGTCAACTGCTTATAGGTATAACCCTGACATACAAGCTTACTCATACTCATGAGGTTCACTTCTAACTTCGGGACATAGCAGACATCATTTAACAGCATATCCGTCTCTTCCACTGGAATCTTTGTATCTCCTATAGCTGCAGCAGGGACCACTGTTCCGTCTGCCATTTTCAACATCACTTTCACCTTCTGAGATTTTGCCATGACAAGATCCCTGTGGGGTGTGGCATGGGCGCCCGATCCAGAGTCTAGAATCCAGGTATCTTTTCCTGTCTGGCCACTTGCATAGGCCTTTTCCTTGATGCAAAATACTTGCTTCATGACATTGTGAACAGGAGCAGCACCCGTATTCTCCACATCCTTGTCTTTATTCTTGTCCTTATCGCGGCTAGTAGGGTGTTTTTCAGGAAATTTCAACCAGCAATCTGTTTGAATGTGACCAATCTTCTGACAATGATAACATGTTTTGATAGTATTATTACCCTTCTATCCGGCTTGGCGAATCTTTGTCCTTGTTCTTAGAGATCTTCTTCTTCTTCTTATTCTTTTTATCCTTTCTGTTGAAATCTTGAGCATTATTTGCAGGGGTCTTTTCATCGGAGGTGGGAGGTTCACCAGTAGCTGGTAATCATAGGAGAATATCTTGACACAATCTCATGAAATCATCTTTGAGTGTTCTAGTGTTCTCATCCTTCTCTATTGCATCCATTTGATTCTTTATAAAAGATGATCAATCTTTACTAACCCCTGTAAGAAGTCTGTTGAAAAACATGAAATCTTTGACATTATATCCCAATCAGATATAATCAGTCCTGATTGCAATTAAACATTTGATAAATGTGTGATCAGAACTCTTTGATTTTGATGTCATCTCAATCAATTCTTGAAACAGGCGAGTTCTGTGAACAGCAGGCCTCTCAGTGAAATTATCCTCTATGACAGATCATAGAGAATAAGCAGATAGTTGAGACTTCTTGAGTATAATAAAGTGAGATTTGACCTGCAGAGTGATCACAGATCATATGTAGTTGTATAGTCAGATATTCTATTCTGATTAAAAACATTGCATATTCATGCTGACACTCTCATCAGAACTAACCTGTCTGTCATTTAGAATGTTATCAGTTTCAGATTGTCTCACTGCAAGAAGAATCTCTTCTTTTCATATTGAGTAATTCACAGAGTCAGTGTAACGTGGCGGGACCGAAGCGGTGGCTAGTCGGCGGCGTCACGTAGGGGTAGTTGTTTGGGAAGCTGTATGAGTGGGCTTGACTATCTAGCTTGAATAGCGAGCTTGTAGGCTACAGGGTTATTGCAAGGATATCACAGATATGGTACTTAGTATACTAAGAAGATTGTATGAGGCATGCAGTAACTCTTGTGTATATTATTCTCATAGAAGGAAAGAAACAAATCACTGACTTCTTTGATGAGGAGCCAGCATCTAGCTATTCTATATAGACAATGAGCGGATACTCTCCTCTCATTCCACAGGTGAGGATAGCCGGAGTGATACCTCAGCGGCGCCTCATTGCCAAGGAAGAGTAATCTGCTGACCTTGTATAGAAGCAGGGTTCTCATATTCATCAATCAGATCTTTCTATGATATATCTGAATGATGTCATAGAGTGGTTGGAAACCAGTTTGAACAGCCTGCGGGATGAATGGAATCATCCACATGGAAGTGATGAGCCGTGTGAAACCGCAACAGGGCCTTGGTGCAGCCGGGAGTGTGACAATGCCCTTCTCTTTAAGAGCATAGTCTCTATGCTCTCAAGATTACCAGATTAGAAATTATCTTTGTTGTATAGCAACAGTTGTCAACTGATTGACAGTGTGTGTGCTGCATGTGGTACAAAGGAATAGATGAGTTTTTCTGCTGACTGTATAGGTCTTTCTTTTCTCATCATTGTTCAAATCAAACATGTGATAAGTGAGTTCCTTATATATTAATTTAAAATATGGAAAATGTAGTTAACAAGTGACTTGCAGATCTCTCAACATATTTCATTCTATATATGAAATTCTCTGCAAAAGTGGTGTGTTTTAGAGACAAAGCTAACAGTAGTGGCAGGATTTTTTGAAAAGATTCTTCTTCTTATGAAACATTTTTCTTTTCCCTCTCTCAATCACAACAGTGAGTGCATGAGAGTATCATTCTTGAAGAACAATCAAGAGCTTATTCTGATGTTTTCTAGTGAATAACAAACATCTTTGTGATGCGGTGGTGGCCTTCATGACTGTCAAGAAAGCCAGGTTGAAGGTGAAGACAGTGATGTTAATGAGCTGCAGAAGCACTGCTTTCATTGTCACATCTTCTTCTTCTTCTACTTCTTTTACAGCTGCAGTGATAGTCATCATGCCTTGCAGTGAGATGTTGTTCCTTCTGCTGATCAGTTTATCTGTGTTCAGTCTGTTCTCTGCCTCTCTCACTGCTGTTGTAACATCACTCTCTCTCTCAGTCAATACAGTGATGTATGACCCTGTGTAATCATTCAGAGAGAAGTCTGGGAAGAGCTTGATTCTGAGAACAGTGACTCTGAGAAGCTCAATCTGTAGTTTCTCTCTCACAGTATACTCAAGCTCTGCTCAGAATACTACTGAGTTGAGTCTGCAGAATTCTGTGATTTCTTTGTCTTCTCTCTATAAGAAGGCTTCAGTGCAGTCTCTAATCAGTATTACTACTTATCTGCACTGTACTAAGCAGCTGAAGAAGAGGGAGATTTTATACATCTGCTTCTTCTCTTACTTCTATTATTTCTGTTGTATCTGTAATAATAACTTCTGTCTCTCTGTAAGTATCACTTCACAGAAAGATATTGTATCAGTTCTGATAAGAAGTCTAGATGCTCAAGCAGTACAGAGTGAGAGTCTCAGAGCTTCAAGTATTGATAAATTCTGTTAAGACTGAGAAGGTCTCTCTTACTCATCTGTAAAAGAAGATGAAAGTGTGAGTCTCTGAGATGAAAAAACATCTCAGAATAACTGACTCTAAGAAGAGATCAGTCAGTACTACTGTTAAAAGTATCACAGAGATCAATTACTGATTGAAGAGAATCTCACTTCAGTTGAAGTAAATGACTGAGATGCTTTGTAAGTTAATAAGTTAATACTTTCAGTATCTCTTATACTCTTCTACAGCATACTTCTCTACAGCACTGCAGTACTAACTTCTCAGCAGATAAAGATACTGATGCTGAAGACTTCAACAGTGAAGAATAAGTTTGATGAGAATATAATTATTGATGAGTAGACTCTGATCTCTCTTTTTACTTTTTCAGTGAGCTGCAGCTCTATTAGAATAGCAGTAGTCTGCAGATCAATAATATTAATCTTTTTATTAATTTTCAATATTTCTTTTCTCTAACTGCTTCAGAAATTTTACACTTGTATAGTCTCATTAAACTTCTAAAAACTCTTTGAGAGAAAATAGAAGAAGAGTGCTACAGAGTTTACAAGACATCAGTTCATCACTGTGAGATCATCTCTAAAAAAATTCTTTGAGAAAAATGAGAAGTCTTAAGTGACATTTCTTACTTAATATCTCTGATATGTAACAGAGTGATCTCTACTAGCTGTCTCATAGATTGCAATCTCTTTCTCAGCATTTTTCAAATACTCAAGCAGTTTTCATGAATTCTCTGATGATGAATATTCTTCTCATTTAACAAGATATTGAAGCTTGCTGTAATATGTTCACTTATTCAATATTTTCTTCATAAGATATTTGATATCACTCTTAATCTTGATGTTATTCAGTCAAGACAGCTCTGTCTCAGAGTATTACTTATAGAGCTTTAAATAGAAAATGTAAAAAACAGAATGAATTGATTTCAATTCTGTGAATAATTTCAACTCATATATCTGTTTACTCACTACTCTTGTTACTGAGAAAGGTTTTAGTCACTGCTCACTGAGCTTCTTATATAATCTCATTGTCTTGATATTCTTTGCTGAAAGTAGCACTTGATTCTCTATTAAGAACTTCATTGAAAGATGTTTTCAATTATAGTATTTCATCTGCTGCTTCTGAGCATGGCAGATGCTTTTCACTATCTTCTCATGAATTTTATTCAAAAGCTTCAATCTCACTTTTACTTCTAGCACTGAGAAATACTTCATTCTCTGTATCTATCTGACATTCTGACTGTCTATTTC